TATCCACTGAGAAAACCGGTTAGGGCTAATGCTTTTTAATTAGTGGTAGGAAACTAGAGAATCAGAGATTAGGTAACTTGACCAAAGTCACCCGCCAACTCTTTCATAGTGACAGAAAGAAGGCCAGTGGCTGTCTGGGGCCAGCAGGGGGAGGGATCCAAAAACACAGGAGGTTCTTGGTGGAGCATGGCTACACTCCCTGTCTTAGTCATGGGTGTAGTTTCACGGGTGTACACATACATGAACACTTACCAAACTGCACACACTAAGCAGGCACAGCAGAGTGGATGTCAGTTACACTTCCGGCTGAGCTGTTTGAAAAGTCACACTTCCAGTCCGAGGCAGCAGGGAGGAGAACACACACCCTGTGCCTTGAGGCTTTCACACTTCTCCTCATCCCAGCCTTTCCGAGTCATGAAGAAACCTTTCCCATAATGTCATTTACAAAAACTCCACTGTTAGAAAATCTCTATACTGAAAAATAAGAAAGCTTTTAACAAGCCCTGGCTGGTGTCCGCTGTTTGGAGCGTCACCCTGAACACCAAAGATTGAGGGTTCAATTCTCGGTCAGGGTACACACCTCAGTTGTGGATTTGATCCCCAGTCACATGCAGTGATGATGGCGCTGGCCCTTCCTCTCTCTCTAAAAATCAATTAAAACATTTCCTTGGTGAGTTTTAAAGAACATCCTTCACAATAGCAGACACTGGGAGACGGAAGAGAACCCCATGCAGCTGGGAGGACGTGGGGGCAGAGTGAGGTGTGACTTGGCTCTGTTTACCTGTGTTTATCCTGGCAACGCTTGTGAGAAAGGTCATCTTGGATAGGTCCAAAGCCTTCCATTGAAGATAAAAGAGATAGAGACGAGGTGTTCCCAGGACTGTACTTTGTGAAGTAGTTGGTGGCCACCATAGGCCAAAATGGTTTTTCAACAATTCCTGGATGAGAAAGAGAGAGGCAGGAAACATTCCAGAAAAGCTCCAACTCTTCTTCTCACTCTCTCCTTCTTCTTCTCCCTCTCTCCTCCTTCTCCTTCTCCTTCTCCTCCTTCTCACTCTCCTTCTCCTCCTCCTCCTCCTTCTCACTCTCTCCTTCTCCTCCCCCTCCTCCTCCCCTTCCTCCTCTTCTTCCCCCTCCTCCTTTTCCTTTCCCCCTTCCTCCTCCGCCTCCTCTTCCTTCCCCTCCTACTCCCCCCTCCTCCTCCTTTCCCCTTTCCTCCTCCTCCTTCCACTCCTCTCCCTCCTCCTCCTCTTCCTTCTCTTCCTCCCCTCTCCTCCTCCTTCCCCTTCTCCTCTTCCTCCTTCCCCTCCTCCTCGTCCTTCCTTCTCCTCCTCCTCTTCTTTCTCCTCCTCCTCCTCTCCCTTCCCCCTCCTCCTCCCCTCTTCCTCCCTCCCTCTCCTCCTCCTCCTCCTCTTCCTTTTCCCTCTCCCCATCACACCAAGCATGGCCAGCTTCCAGAGGCCTAAAATAGCTTCCTTGTGCAGAAGGTGAAAGTACAGGGTGACGGTGGCTGTGCTCCGCCCCTCCTCGCACTGCTGCTGACCTGGCGCTGACCAGCGGGCGGGCCGCAGAGGGATTCTGTCCCGTGGGCCCTGCATGCTCGCTGGGTAGCCACCAGGGCCTCCAGTTTTCCTGCCGGAATATGTTTTCCCGAGCTCTTGCCTCCCTAGCAGGAGTTAGGAAGAAACGTGCATGCATCTAAGGTGTTGTTTTTCCTTTGTATGATTTTTTTTAGAACTGCAAATATAATACACAAGTGTAACACATGCAAACGAGATAGAATTATGTGATATGCACACGGGAGTGGGGGTGGAGTAGGGGCAGTGGTTCCGGGAGACAGATGAATTCAACATGATTTCTGTCCGGGTCTGGGAGATGCCTGTCCAGGGCAGGAGGTGCGGTTACCGAGTGCCCGGGGGGCCTGGGGACACAGGATCAACCCTGAGGACCCTCCTCTGGGAGGCCACATGGTTAGAGACAGTTAAGCCACTGGTGCTGGTTCGGCAGGGTTTGCCTTTCCCAGAGTCTCCTCTACGGGGATCCCTCGCCCTCCTCTGCCCTGCTGTGTCCCAGGTGGCTGACCCTAACAGACTGCATTGCCTCTGGCTTCTATCTGGACTGAAGAATGGGAGGCAGCAGGAGGAGAGGGAGAGTTGGGATAGTTATCTTCCTGAGTCTTTTCAGGCTTTATCTCCTCAGCCTTCAGCACAGTGAACTGAAGCAAGTTGCTGAGCTGACCCGGCATGCTGGGACATTTTCCTGCGGAGGTGACTTTAGACCTGGGTGGATGGCCACACAATGGTGCCTGGATGACGTTTATCCTACAGGGACAAGGTCCATGCTGGTCACATGGTACAGTGTCCAGGGCAGCATGACCCCAATCCAGGCACGGATGACTAGAGTGACGATGGTGATGATGATGGGAGGTCCATCGACCTGACGGAGTCACAGGAAGATTTCATTTTAGCGCTGTGTGCCTCTGACATGTGGCAAGATAATATTTGCTTTGTGGGTCGATACTTTCCTTAAGGTGTAGTTTACATGCAATGTTACGCTTCCAGTTTTAAGAAGACAGGTGAGTTTTGACAAACAAACTTACCTCTGTAACCACCACTCCTATCAAGATATACAACGTTTGTTACCTCAGACAGATCCCTATGCCCCTGTCCATGTAATCCCTCACCCAAACTCTCCACCCCCACCCCTATCAAAGCCAACCACTGTCTGACCCCTATCTCCATCTCCCCAACCTCACAGGATGTTGTGTCCAATGAATTTAAAAAAAAGTATTTCATTGATATTTTTACAGAGAGGAAGGGAGAGGAATAGAGAGCCAGAAACACCGATGAAAAAGAAACTTCGATCAGCTGTCTCCTGCACACCTCCTACTGGGGATGTGCCCGCAACCAAAGTACATGCCTTTGATCAGAATCGAACCTGGGATCCTTCAGTCCACAGGCTGATGCTCTCTCTATAAACTGAGCCAAAAACGGTTTCTGCCAATGACTTTCTTTTCTTTATTTCTTTTTTTTAATTTATATTTTAGTTGTATTTTATTGAAATTGTTGTGTGCGGCTGCGGCTAGGTGTTTACCTGGGCAGCCATCTTGGATTCTCTCTCTTTCTTTAAAAAAAAATATTTTATTGATTTTGTATAGAGAGGAAGGGAGAGAGATAGAGAGTTAGAAACATCGATGAGAAAGAGTCATTGATCAGCTGCCTCTTGCACACCCCCCACTGGGGATATGCCCACAACCAAGGTACATGCCCTTGACCGGAATCGAACCCGGGACCCTTCAGTCCCCAAGCCGACACTCTATCCATTGAGCCAAACCAGTCTCGGCTGCCAATGAATTTCTTGTAACCACCCTCAAAGCATGCTGATCTTGCCTTCGTGCCCATTCTGTGCTGTTCTCTGCGATGTACCTGCAGTTATCCCTTTTCACTGGTTAACTCCCCATCTTCCTTTAAGACTCCTCTTCCAGGAAGTCTTCCTGGCCTTCTCTTCCACTCTGGCTGGGTAAGGTGCTCTGCAACTAATTCCAGCACTGCGTTGACAGCATCACCATTATAAATAGATTCTATTCATAATTCTCCCCATTTACCTGTGAGCTCCTTGAGGAATGGGGTCATTTAATATGCTGCTTTAAATTCCTGACTCTAGCCCAATGCCTGACATACAATACATTCATTGTTTAAACAAATAGGTGAATTAAATAAATCATACCCCCCCTCCCCAGGACACAATTATTAACTTTTAACATCACACATGTTTGACCCTTTTGGTTACAAGAAACAAAGACTCAAAATACGTGTGAGGGTTTGTAAAGAGGCGCACACAGCCATGTTTCCTGAGCAAAGTGTTCATAGCTTTCACCAGATTCTTACAGGGATGTGCCTCCAAAGATACAGATAAGAACCACTGCACCAGGGACATGGCTGACTGTGCCTTCCTGAGGCATCTCCCTCTTTGTTCTTTTCCAACTTAAACATTTTGTCGGCTACCATCAATAGCCACCCAACTTGTACACACAGAAAAGGTGTTTTGTATGACAAGCCACGAAGGGTTCTGATGGTTGCGTAGGAGCGTCACCCATTCATTGTCTAGCTATGAAAACACCAAGGACCGGAGGCGTGAGGCAGAAGTTGCTTAGACCAGGCAGCTGGCCCAGTAGAAGGGACTACAATGAACTCCTCTTTCTTCTTCACTTCCTTTCTCTTATTAACCAACATCTCGCCAGTTCCACTGATCATTTTGCCCCCTAAACACTTTTAAACATTCGTTGAGGGCCATGCACTGTGTTACACATTTCCCCATCGATGATATACCCCATCCTTCTGTTGGATACGATCTCCCTCTTTCACTTTTCAGATAAGGACATTGAGACTTTGAGACTTTAAGGAACCTGCCCAAGGTTGCCCAGCTGGCTATGGCAGAGCTGGGAAAACTGTTTTCCACCACTTCGTCTCACTTCTGTACATAACTCTGTTGCTAGTGGGAGGATCTGTCGCAGAGCTGAAAAGCTCTCTCTCGTGACAGATCCTCCCACTCAGGTCTCACCTGAGGCTCTGCTGGGTCCCCGAAAAAAAAGAGAGAGAGAGACAGAGAGAGAGAGAGAGAGAGAGAGAGAGAGAGAGAGAGAGAGAGAGAGAGAGAGAGAGAGACACACACATACACACACACACACACACACACACACACACACACACACACCGCCCCCTGGCGGCAGGTGAGCGCCAGCACAGTGCATGCTAACGAGCCCGCGGAGCGGCTCGCTGATTGGCTGGCGCGGATTCCAGCTGCTTCCCAGGGGCAGGAGCTCCGGCGAGTAAAGGGGCTCCGCAGGCAGCAGCCGCCCCCGCCCCGCGCTCTCGGGGTGCCCCCTCCGCACCTCCTTTTGGGCTTAAGGGTGTGCGCGAGGCACGCCGGCCCTTTCACTGGCGGGCTTCTCCTGTTCTCTCCCCTTTGTGCTCTGGTTCTGAAATCCTCCCGGGTCCAGGATGACAATCCGGCACCAGGGCCAGCAGTACAGGCCGAGGATGGCCTTTCTCCAGAAGGTGAGCTGCTCTGTCTCCGGGCCCCGGAGGTGCGCGGGGACCCAACTCTGAGAAGTGTCCGCGGAGATGCTGGACAGGCTCAGTGCGATCGATCGTGTGGGCAGGAGCCGAGGGCATCCCCTGTGGTCCGTTAATGCTGCTGCTGCTGCTGCTATTAGACGACTTCTTTGCAGTGTGTGTGTGTGTGTGTGTGTGTGTTTTAAAGACTATCATCATTAGGTTTCCACGTGTGTGTGTGTGTGTGTGTGTGTTTTAAAGACTATCATCATTAGGTTTCCACGTGTGTGTGTGTGTGTGTGTGTGTGTGTGTGTGTGTGTGTTTTAAAGACTATCATCATTAGGTTTCCACATAACCTGTCTGCTGGAGACGGGAAGCCAGGGGCCATGGTCTGCAGCAGGCTCAGAACTACCTGTTACTCAGGGGAGGAGGGTGCCTGAGGCAGTTCAGCCCAGGCTGTCACCTGCAAGACTGTCTCCGGAGATCGGATATCGTTATAAGGCACCCAGATGTTAAATTAACATTTTGGGGGGTTATTTTTTGGATCCCAAGCTGCAGTGTTGTTTTTTTTTCTTTTTTTTTTTTCTGTGTGTGTGTGTGTGTGTGTGTGTGTGTGTGTTTCTGTAGTGAAACCGAGTATAGTTTTATTTCAGATTTGGAAAGAATATCAGTATCTGTGAGAGAAAAAATCCAATTAAAAATATTTAAACAAACATTTCTGCATGTAGAAAGAAGAGCAGAATAATTGTTCCATTAAGTTATTCTCTTCGCTACGCCGGCTTCCCCAGAGAAGCCACTGGTGGCTGGCCCGGGATGGCCAGTCCCCCAGGCCAGGCCGGAGGCTCTCAGAGCAGGGCGTGGGGAGCAGATCCCACCACGAGGCAATGACGAGGTTGCCTACCCTTGCCAACTCTCTACAGAAGCAAAAACGGTGGGAGATGGCACCAAACTGCGGTATTTTAAAGTGTGTGTGTGTGTATATAAGTGTGTGTGAGTGAGTGTGTGTGTGTGTGTGTGTGTGTGTGTGTGTGTGTGTGTGGTGACTGTGTACACATCGATCATGCAATGATATATTTGTAGGATCAAGGACACCCCCGCTCCCGGCACCCTCAAACCCCCCATTGGAGCATGGTTATTTGCTTATCTCAGGTCTCTGTGCTGGCAGCAGAAGTCAGAACCCTTTCTCTTCGGCCACAGACTGCCTTGGCCCGGCACGGGCTGTGCTGTGGTCATGGGGGAGGTGGCGTGTCTTGCCGGGTGATGTGCTTGGAAACAAAGCGGCTGGTTTTGTTGTGAACTCTTCAGAGAAGCAGTGTCTGGAGAGATGGCCGGGGGATTAGGTCCACAGCCGCCTTTCAGGGCGCCGTGTCCGCCACCTGAGGCTTATCCTGTTGAGTGGCATTAGCCGAATGCTCCGTGACAAGCGGAGCCCTGAGCCCCTGGAGCTCAGTTTGTGGGTGTAGTCAGTGCCCCACTGTCCTGACTGCCTGGGACGTTCAGTGCTGAAACCTGGACAGTGCTGGGTGCACTGGACCGCTGCTCACACTCCTTTGCCCACTTCTGGGAGCTGTGTTTGTATCCAGGCAGTGGAGGTGTGAGGCTCCTCCATAAAACAAGCAAAGGTTGTCAGAAAGGACCCCAGGGCTGATATCGCAGACACCAGTTTCTAAACGCAGAGCAGACCACCTAAACCCCTGTCTGAAAGCCAGGGGCATCTTCCAGGATTCCCCAATTCTGCCTTCTTCTCCTCCCCCAGACAGGCTGGCTGCGAGGCCCCGGAGGAACGGTCCGGAGAGCCTCTCCTTGTCTTCTGAACCTCAGACGTTCTTGCCATCATGGCTGTTGTCTACCAGTCTCTTCTCTTTACCTTGGCCTTCTGACTGGAGTCTGGTCGCCAGCCTCTCCCCCAATCATCGCACTCTTACCTCTTCCACCCCAGCCTCCTCCTCCAGCCCCCCCAGCTTCATCTTCCACCCCTTCCACTCTCCACCATTTCCACCCCAGCCTCCCCCTCCTCCATCCCAGCCTCCCCTCCTCCACCCAAGCCTCCCCCTCCTCTACCCCAGCCTCACCCTCCTCCTCCAGCCCCCCCAGCTTCATCTTCCACCCCTTCCACTCTCCACCGCTTCCACCCCAGCCTCCCCCTCCTCCATCCCAGCCTCCCCTCTTCCACCCCAGCCTCCCCTTCCTCTACCCCAGCCTCACCCTCCTCCACCCCAGCCTCCCCTCCTCCACCACAGTCTCCCCCTCCTCCACCCCAGCCTTCCCCTCTTCCACCTCGCTACTGAGGTCCTTGCCAGGTACACAGCTCCCTAGAGCAGGAGGCAGGATAGAACCAAGGTGTGCAGAGCAGGTCTCAAGAGCCCGTGCCAGGGGATCCTTAGTGATGAATCTGCTGCACTAGATGCCCAGCCTGCTGTGGGCCTGTGTGCACCTGCCATTCACTACGCAAAGAAATAGAAAGGAGTATTTATGAAGTATTTGTATTCCCCAGCGGGGGCCTTACCTACACCATCTCATTTATTCCTTAAGACAGTGGCATTATACGACATGGACGGGTGAAACAGCAGGATGGTTTGCAGATTCCCCAGGGGTTGGGATGGTCCAGAGTGGGCAGGAGGCTGACGGACAGGAAGGCTGGAGGGAAGGGCCCAGAACTGGGGGCTTCAATGCTGTGCGGAGGAGTCTGAAGCTCTCTGTGTTCAGGGAGAAGCTGTTTGATGTTTTACAATCAGAGCTGAATGAAATGAGTTGGTTTACAGGTTAGAAAGGTGATTCTGATGAGAGGGCATGAGTTCTTCTCTGCCCTGGCTGCTCTTTGAGAAATATGGCTCTCAAGTTACCCTCCTTAGAGTTTCTGATTCACTTAAAAGGTAATTAAGTGGGGTAGAGACCAAGCATTGGCCTTTTTAATGGTTTTTTTTAAAAAATATTTTTTATTGATTTCAGAGAAGAAAGGAGAAGGAGGGAGAGAGATAGAAACATCAATGATGAGAGAGAATCATTGATTGGCTGCCTCCTGCATGCCCCCTACCCAGGATCAAGCCTGAAACCTGGGAACCAAACCATGACCTCCTGGTTCATAGGTCAGCCCTCAACCACTGAGCCACCCCAGCTGGGCTAATTGATTTTTTTTTTTTTCGAGAGAGAAACATCCACTTGTTCCACTTGTTTATGCAATCATTGGTTGATTCTTGTATATGCTCTGACTGGGGATCAAACCCACAATCTTGGCATATTGAAACGATGCTCTAACTCAATGGTCGGCAAACTGAGGCTTCCGAGCCACATGCGGCTGGCTCTTTGGCCCCCTGAGTGCGGCTCTTCCACAAAATACCACGGCCTGGGCGAGTCTATGTTGAAGAAGTGGCGATAGAAGAAGTTTAAGTTTAAAACATGTGGCTCTCAAAAGAAATTTCAATTGTTGTCCTGTTGATATTTGGCTCTGTTGACTAATGAGTTTGCCGACCACTGGTCTAACCAACTGAGCCACGCCAGCGGGGCAGCATAGGTGTTTTAAATAAAGTCTCTCGAGTGATTGAATGCACAGCTAAGATGAAAGCCCCTGGGGCATTTGAGCAACTCTGGAGGCATTTTGTGTTGTCACCGCTGGGGAGGAGGATGCCATGGGCATCTTGTGGGCCAAGGCAGGTGCACAGGACAGCCAGCCCCACAGCCCAGACTGACCCACCCAGCACCTCGGCTGGGGGTGCATTTCAGAGTGCAGGTGCCAGGGGGGCGGAGCCTGAGAGCCAGGATGGGGGCCAGAGAGGAGACAGGTCAGACACAAAAGCAGAGTCAACAGATGTTGGCCGCTGCCAGCCGGGGTCACCGAGGATGCTCCTGGGGCTTGTGACCAGGGTGTAAAAAGCAGATTTTGGGGGAAGACTGTGAGCCCTGATTAGGGGATGGCGCTTTCGAGGGTCTTCCAGACGCCGCGGTCCGATGGCCTCCGTGTGGCCAGACACATTAGCAGGAGCCCCTCCCGCTTTGTTTGCAAAATCACCTCCTGGTTCCGGTCACTGTCCCCATCTGGGTACAGAAACGTCCTGATTGGTATCATCCCTCCCCGGAGCCTTGCTAGGCTTAAGGGAAAATTCCAGCTCCACAGATCTTGCGCATGAGTGACAGGTTCCTAATGCGAGGCGCGGGCGTGGAGGAGGGTGGGGTGCGGAGGCCGTCAAAGCCATCCTTTCTGCTCCTTCGCGATGTGGGGGATCCCTGTCATGCCCACCGTCACACCGCAGCACGTTGGCAGCTGAGAGAAGCAACGTGAGCCTGACACCCCACCGCTCCTGCCCCCAACAGGGGGTATGGGGGTCCGGCACAGCCTGGTTCCGTGACATTTCCATGTTGTCTGGGAAGGCGACACGGCTGCCTGGAGGTGCCGGGAGCTGAGCCTGACATTTGGGGTGGGGTGGGGATGGCCATCCTCTCCCTCATTCCTAGCGGACTGCCCGCCCGGACGGAAGTTGGCAGAGTCAGCAGAGTCGGCAGCTGTTGGGAGCGGAAAGTCATGGACTGGTCGCTCCCTGGAGGGCTTGGGAGATCACTAGGCTCTCTCCTGTCTGCCATGGGCAAAGGGCTTTCGGATGGAGGCAGACCAAAGCAAACATTTGCTCACTTGGGCTGCCAGGACCAAGGGCCACAGGTTGGGGGCGCCCAACAAGGGGATTTGATTTGCTCTCAGTTTTGGGGATCGTGGTGTTGGTGGGATTGGTTTCGTCCTCGGCCTCTGCACTAGGCGGCCAGAGGGCTGCTTTCTCCCATGTCCTCACGTGGTCTTCCGTCTGTGTGTGTCCGTGTCCCAATTTCCTTCTGGAAAGGACACCAGTGGTAATGGAGTTGGAGCCACAACGAATGGCCTCATTTTAATGCCATTACCTCTTTTATTTAAAACAATATGTTTAATTGATTTCAGAGGGGAAGGGAGAGGAAGAGAGAGAATCATTGACCGGCTGCCTTCTGCACACCCCACACTGGGGATGGAGTCTGCAACCCGGGCATGTGCCTTGACTGGGAACTGAACCATGACCTCTTGGTTCATAGGTCAACACTCAACCACGTAGCCACGCTGGCTGGGTTCCATCATCTTCTCAAAGACTCTCTGTCCAAATGGGGTCACGTTCCCAGGTCCTGGGGGTTAGGACTTCAACATATGAATGTGGAGGGGTCGCAGTTCAGCCCCTGACAGTCTCTCAGAGGCGGTGCCACCAGCCAGAGCCTTTCCTCGCTGGGTGGCTGGGAGACCCTCCAAGGAGAGTCCTGAGGAGAATGACTGGCGTCCCAATGGGCCCTGCTCCCTCAGGATGTTCTCGAGGTCCCTGTAGGCCCACTCCTTTCTGGGAAGGTGATCCAACTGCCAGAAAGAAATCTGACTCCCCTCATTGTGTTGTAAAAATAGCTCTCATTATTCCTCCTCGGAAGGTTATTTTCAAGCTCCTTATAACTAGACTTTAATTTAATTTTTTTTTTTAACATGAAGAGAAGGGATCAAATTCCCTGACTTTCTCTCTCAGGGAAACGCAGGTTTCTAACTCATGGGATGGGTGTCTACATCTTCTCCAGTATCGGGGCCCTCTGTTTCTTCGAAATGCTGCTGTTTCACCTAAAAAATCATTTAAAAATAAATGTGGGATTTTACCCGGCAGGCCCTCAAGCCCCAAAGGCAGGCACTTTTTTTTTTTTTTTTTAAATATATTTTATTGATTTTTTTACAGAGAGGAAGGGAGAGGGATAGAGAGCTAGAAACGTCAATGAGAGAGAAACATCGACCAGCTGCCTCTTGCACACCCCCTACCAGGGATGTGCCCGCAACCAATGTACATGCCCTTGACCAGAATCGAACCTGGGACCTTTCAGTCTGCAGGCCGACACTCTATCCACTGAGCCAAACCGGCTTCGGCAGGCAGGCACTTCTTAAAGCAGCATTGGAAACCACAGCTCAGGGCTAGTCGAGAACTCGGAAGGAGTGACTCCCGCAACCTGTGGCTGCTGTGTCCCCTGGCCATGTCCAGGGGGCGTGAGGCCACTTCCCAGCCCTCCACACCTTCCTGGGGCGCCTCTTAGCTCCCCTCCCTGCTGTGGCCGCGCTGCTGGCCCAGTGGCCTGAGATACTGTGAGGCCTCCACATTGCAGACCAAGAACTGAGGCTCTGAATGGAGCGGAAGGGAAGTCTCCATCCCAGAACAAGCCCGTGAGCCAGGACAGTGTCCTTGCAGAGGAAGCCAGCCTGCAGTCCGTCTTGCACAAGGAGCCCCAGAGCGACCTTGACCATGCGCTTGATTCTGGTTGTTTCTCGAGATGCTGGTTTAGCAACAGATTGAAAGTGGACTCTCAGCTCTCAGCTGTGACTCAGGACGTTGTCCCATACCCTTCCCTCCTCGGGGAGGTGCGGACCTTCCAGCTGCAGGAGCTGGCTGGCCGAGGGGCCGAGGGCAGGTCTAATTTGTCCAAATCAGGCTTTCTTGGTATGATTTCCCCCACCCTCCCATCCAGGGCAGCTGGGTCCATCTCTCTCTAATGTTATATCTTTTTTAAAAATCCTCACCTGAGGATATTTTCCCCATTGGTTTTTAGAGAGAATAGAAGGAAAGGAGTAGGGGAAGAGAGAGAGAGAAAAACATTGACCGGAGAGAGACACGTTGATCGGTTGCTTCCCACAGGCACCTGGACTAGGGCAGGGGACTCAACCTACAAGTGAGGTAAGAGGTACCTTGACAGGGAATTGAATTCTCAAGTGGCCGATGCTCTAACCACTGGGCAGCCAGCCAGGGCGCTCATGCTCTATTTTTAAAATTTACTTTATTGCTGGGGAACACTTCTTACAAGAATTTTAAGTGTACAAACAATATGGTAGCGCAGATCCCTATAATCTATCCATGTTGGTTACCTGATACTTTATGCCCTTTTACTAGCAACTCCCTCTTCCCCTCCCTCCACGCTTCCATTATGTCGCCTGTTAGACACTTCACTTAAGTGGAAGCATGTAGGTTTTCTGGGACTGGCTTAAGATCACTTAGCAAAATGTCCTCCAGGTTCATCCGTGATGTTGCGTGTGGCAGAATTTCTTTTTTTCTTTAAAGCCTGAAAAAGATTCCATTGTGTGCATGCGCTACGTTTTCTGTACCTGCTCATCCATCAGTGGACACATAGGCTGTGTTCACATCTTGGCTACAGAGGATTATGCTGCAATGCACACGGGAGTGCTTACAGCTCTTCAGGATCCTGATTCCAGTTCTTCATGAGAAATACCCAGAGGCGGGGTTGCTGGGTGGCACGGTGATCCCGTGTACTTTTTGGAGGGACCTCCTTACTGTTTTTGTTTTGCATTCGCATCAGCAGTGGACTGCGAAGGTCCCCATTTCAATGTCCTCACTTTCCTGCCTTCTCACTCTTCTTCCCCCTCCCCCATCTCTCCCCTGGAGCACAGCCCTCCCTCCCTGTCAGGGAAATCCTACTCTCTCCATGCACACTGCTTTTTCATCCTCTCAGCCTCCTCTTCTTCCTGGTTCTTATTCCAGTCAGTATCCTCCCTGTTTTTTTTGATGCAACATTCAGCCGGCCTTCGCCATCTCACACATGCTTACTTTGTGCATGGCTCGATGCTAAGTGCTTTACACGGATCGATCTCATTTAATCTTCGCATCATTCCTCTGATGGCGAGGCACCTGCAATCTCCATTTTATGGAGAAATGAGTCTTAGTGAGATGTAGCAATTCATCTAGCGCAGTGGTCAGCAAACTCATTAGTCCACAGAGCCAAATGTCAACAGTACAACGATTGAAATTTCTTTTGAGAGCCCAATTTTTTAAACTTAAGCTTCTTCTATCACCACTTCTTCAAAATAAACCCGCCCAGGCCGTGGTATTTTGTGGAAGAGCCAAAGGGGCCAAAGAGCAGCATATGGCTCGAGAGCCGCAATTTGCCGACCACGGATCTAGCGTATACTTTGGAGCAGGGGTTTGAACGAAGAGTTTTAGCCACCCAGTTCCCTAGCGTTTATCTCAGTTAAATTTCTGTTTTCCTACAAATGTCTTCCCAGCTCTCCGAAGATGGGCACTATCTCTTTTACTTTGTTCTGCCCTCCGCAGTGCTGGGCATGCCATACATGCTCAACAAATATGTGCTTAATCAATGAATATATTTAATGGGTGAGTAGAGCTAGGTTTTTACTCCCAGGCGTCTGAATGCAGCCTTATATGCAAAGTTTCAAAGATGCATTCATGGTACAAATGCTACAAATGATGATTCTGTCAATAACCACTACCATATATCTCCTTATAAAGCATCTACTTAGGTTTATATGACTTTGTCCTTATCTGTCTTTATGCAGTAATACATATATCTTGCCTTATAAAGTATTTTCACACAATTAGATTCTAAGAGATTAGAAAACCAAACTTTGTAATGCAGGGCTGTGTTCAGAGGCCTAGAGAGTGTATTTTATGACATAGCAGGAGAACGATGGTGATGACACCAGATGGGTAAAACCGAGGGGAAGAGGTAGACCAGTGAGCTCTTTTAGTGTGGGGAGCAGACAGGTTGGTTTTCGGGTGCAGTCCTCCACGAGCCCCCTCCACGAGATTCCCCGGGGAATCTCGGCCAGCGGTTCTGGAAGAAATGGCCTTGCAGGGCTTCGAGCACAGAGGTGACATGTTCTAAAATGATGAAAGACTCACTCTGACCGCTCAGTTGAGACTAGACTAAAGGATTGACGTGTCACAGTGAAGCCCCATCACTTTCTGCCCAGACTACAGCGGCAGCTGTGACGACATCTCCCGCTTTTCTCTCCTGGGGCAACCTTCTGCAGGCTTCAGTGACTTCCCTCTGCCATAGACCAGGTTTCTGAAACCCAGGCCAGACTATTCAACCCCTCAGAAACGGCTGCTGGAACAAAATCTGCACACTGGGCATGGCATTCAAGGTCCCTGCCACCGGGCCTCCACCTGTCCCTCCACCCTCACCATCTGACTGCTTTCTCTCCCTCTCACACTTTCCCATGCTTTTGTTCATCCTCCCCCTTTCTGTCCAGGAAAAGCCTTTGTTGTCATGTCCCATCTTCTCCTAAAAGTCTGTGCAGAATCTCCAGGTCAGGAGGAGTCTCCCACGCACTCCCACAGAGAGGGCACGTGGGCCTGGAGCACATCGCTCCTCTAGCTCTGGTGGCCCTACTCAGTGCCACCTCGTGGTTTGCTGTATGTCCCCTGACCCCTCAGCCTCTGCTATGGTTCCCCTGAGCCACACGGTCTGCTTCTGCCTTGCAGATTGAAGCGCTAGTGAAGGACATGCAGAGCCCAGAGACGGGGGTCCGAATGCAGAACCAGAAGATCCTGGTCACCAGCATTCCTCACGCCATGACAGGTAACCACGTCCTGTGACTTATTTTTGTCCTGGAACAGATCACACAGGGGGGCTGGCAAACTTCTGCTCCTGGGTCACATTGGGCCCGGGGCCTATATTTATAAATAAAGTTTTATTGGAACATGTCCACATCCCCACTTATGTATTGTCTTTGACTGCTTTTATATGACCATGTGGTCAGCAAACTCATTAGTCAACAGAGCCAAATATCAACAGTACAACAATTGAAATTTCTTTTGAGAGCTTTTTTTTTTTTTTTTAACTTAAACTTCTTCTAACGCAACTTCTTCAAAATAGACTCACCCAATATGTACACAGATAATAATTTAATTTTTAAAAAAATTAAAAAAAAATAGGCTTAGGTTTAGGCTTAGGCTTAGGTTTAATAGGTTTAGGCTTAGGATTAACTAGATTTAGGCTTAGGCTTAACTAGGCTTAGGCTTAGGCTTAACTAGGTTTAGGCTTAGGCTTAGACTTAGGCTTAGGCTTAGGCTTAGGTTTAGGCATAACTAGGCTTAGGCTTAGGATTAACAAGGCTTAGGTTTAGGCTTAGGCTTAACTAGGCTTAGGCTTAGGCTTAACTAGGCTTAGGCTTAAACTTAGGCTTAACTAGGCTTAGGCTTAGGCTTAACTAGGCTTAGGCTCAGGCTTAGGCTTAACTAGGCTTAGGCTCAAGCTTAGCTAGGCTTAGGCTTAGGCTTAACTAGGCTTAGGCTTAGCTAGGCTTAGGTTTAGGCTTAACTAGGCTTAGGCTTAGGCTTAGGCTTAACTAGGCTTAGGCTTAACTAGGCTTAGGCTCAGGCTTAACTAGGCTTAGGCTTAAGCTTAACTAGGTTTAGGCTTAGGCTTAGCTAGGCTTAGGCTTAGGCTTAACTAGGCTTAGGCTTAGGCTTAACTAGGTTTAGGCTTAGGCTTAGCTAGGCTTAGGCTTAGGTTTAACTAGGCTTAGGCTTAGGCTTAGGTTTAACTAGGCTTAGGCTTAGGCTTACCTAGGTTTAGGCTTAGGCTTAGCTAGGCTTAGGTTTAACTAGGCTTAGGCTTAGGCTTAACTAGGCTTAGGCTCAGGCTTAACTAGGTTTAGGCTTAGCTAGGTTTAGGATTAGGCTTAACTAGGCTTAGGTTTAGGTTTAACTAGGCTTAGGCTTAGGCTTAACTAGGTTTAGGCTTAGGCTTAGCTAGGCTTAGGTTTAACTAGGCTTAGGCTTAGGCTTAACTAGGCTTAGGCTTAGCTAGGCTTAGGCTTAGGCTTAACTAGGCTTAGGTTTAGGTTTAACTAGGCTTAGGCTTAGGCTTAACTAGGCTTAGGCTTAGGCTTAACTAGGGGAAAAAAATAGACTCGCCCAGGCCGTGGTATTTTGTGGAAGAGCCATACTCAAGGGGCCAAAGAGTGGCTCGAGAGCCGCCGTTTGCCGACCAGTGCCCTAGCCCTTTCCAGAATATGTTTGCTGATGGCTGGGCCCAGGCCCCTTCTTTAGAAGGGGTCAGAAGGGACCAAGAAAAGAACTCAAAAGGTCACTTTGTGAAGCCATTCCACCCAGGAGGTCATTAAAAAAAAAAAAAAAACAAAAAAAACCCCCAACGTTTACTGTGACTTTTTGTTGGTTTTTCTTGTTTTTATTTTAACGGAATCAGGTAGCAGAAAATAACTATTTGGCAGTAAAAAAAAAATTGGCCTTTGTTCTACCCTCCCTTACCTTCTAATTTACATCCAGACCCTTCTTAACCACCGTGGGGATGGCACCCAGGGGCAGACTCTCCTCTTACTCATCTGGGTAACCCCAGTGCTTAGCAGAACTGCAGGTCAGGGTAGAGATCTAATAAAAATTCACCGAGTGAGTGAACCAATTAGTGAGTGAACCTGGCCTAGCACTTGACATTGAGTCAGGCTCCCTGGGACTGAATCCGTTGGGCGCCTTTTCTAGCTATGTAGCCCTAACCTCCATGTTCTCACTTTAGAAGCAGAAGTGGCAATTCCTGCCTAAGAGAACGAGTGCAGGAATTAAATGAGATAGTTCCATGCCTGAGGCCAGCACACAGCGGAGGCTGGAAGAGTGGCAGTAGCTCACAGCTTCCCACACTGTGTCAGTTGACAGACACTGTCAAGTTAGAGAGAGATACAAGCGTCCCCATTCTGCAGCGGGGGCCCCGGAGACACAAAGAGAGATACAAGCAACTTGTCCCCACATCACTCGACTCCTACGTGGCTGAGTTTGGACTTGAGCCCAGTTATGTGACTCTGGTGTTCGTCCTCTTATTCCTACCAATGTGCGTTCACTGCTTCCCTGCCTTGCAGGTTCTTGGGTGAGGTGCCCACCTGCCATGCTTTCCCGCTCCCCTTCCCCCCACTCCTCCTGCTGGGGAACCCCAGCGGCTGTTGGAACGGGACGCAGGGAAGGAAGGCCTTGTCTTGCAGCTGCAGATCAGCTGAGTAATCGGCATCCATCTCCTCGGATGGCAGGACTTCTGGGGATGAAGGTGGCTGATGCGGGGGCCCGCACAGACCACGCGGTGCAGATGCCAGTGGCCTGTAAACTCATTTGACTTATTTCAGGGAGCAGTCAATTGGATGACAAACCTTGGCTCCTTGGTGGAGAATACTAACCTGTCTGCTGTCTGTCTGGGTCTTTCTCTCTTGGTCTGCATAACCTGTGCAGCGTTCAATGAGATGTGGGTGGAAAGGCTAAAACAGCCAGTCCTCCCCTGGCCCTAGCCGGTTTGGCTCAGTGGATAGAGCATCAGCCTGCAAACTGAAGGATCCCAGGTTCGATTCTGGACAAGGGCACATGCCTGGGTTGCGGGCTCAATCTCCAGTAGTGGGTGTGCAGCAGGCACCCGATCAATGATTGTCTCTGAACACTGGTCTGAACACAGTAGGGTGGTTGGGTGGGTGGACGTAGGGGGTCCCTGAAAGTATTGAGCAGAAGAGGGACGTGATCCCAGCTGAGCAGGGTGGGGAGGCCAGCCAGGCAACAGCATGGAGGCCAGCAGGTGTGTTAGGAGGCTCTGACAACGGCCTGACATTTGTTTTGCAGGAAGCGATGTTCTGCAATGGCTCGTCCAGCGGCTCTGGATCTCCAGTCTGGGTGAGAGCCCGTCTGGCACTGGGTTACCAAGACCTGCTGTCTGTACAGCCCGCGGGAATCTGCATGGAGGCTTAGCCCGGGTCTCTGGGAAGCTGACATTTGAATTGAACAGACGAGGCCTTCCTGTGTAAAACAGCCAGAATCCAACTGGGGGGACAGACTTGTTTCGTACAAAATATTGGCCGGGGGATCCTCCTTATTAGCACGTTCCCCAGCTGATCCTCGCCTACAGCCAAGTCCAGGAACTGCATTCCCTCCTTCCTTGATCGATGTGCTGGTGGGATGGAGGCATCTCTTTTGGAGTCCGGGGTGCTGTGTGTGTGGGCCAGGTAGCGAGCTGCTGCCTTCAGGCCCTGCTCTTAACTCCCATGCTTCCACTGCTTCTCCCCAGAGGCACAGAACTTGGGCAACTTCATTGTCAAGTACGGCTACATCTACCCCCTGCAGGACCCCAAGAACCTCACGCTCAAACCTGATGGCAGCCTCTACCGATTCCAGGTGAGTCGTGGCCTGGACTCTGGATGTTAACACGGGAGTACTCTTATCTGAAAAGATAGTTGCTTGGCTTCACATCCTCCCAGATCAGGACTTTGGAAATAAGTGGAGGGCGCTAAGGATGTTTTATCTGTTAAACCACATGGCTGGGGACTTCCTGGGTCAGAGCCCTGTCTAAGCGAGGTCTCTTGGTTTCTTTTGCAGACACCGTATTTCTGGCCGACCCAGCAGTGGCCAGCGGAAGATACAGACTATGGTAACTGCCCTCCCTCTCATGCCTTTGGTAGTGCTTAACGTGCTGCTTGCTTACTTGCTGCATTTTGGTGGCATTTGTCTTGCTGTCATCTTGACCTTATATCAGCACACACCTGTATTGGGAGTGTTACTGCGGGAAGGGAGAGGGCCTGCTGTGTTCTCTCCACCGGGCTGAGCACAGCAGTCCCATGTACCAAGAGACTACACATGTGGTTCTGAGACATGATGATGGGAAATGTCATTGTTTTCTCCCCCAGCCATCTATCTGACCAAGCGAAATATCAAGAAGAAAGGGGTTTTGGAAGAACACGAAAAGGTACAGAGATACTTTCAAGTAAAGGTTATTATACGTGAGTGGAATATAGTATTGAGTTGTTGTTTCCCCCCCATTTTCCTCATTGCTATATTCATATGTTTCTTCATTCAATCATCCAATCATCCAACCATCCATTCATCCATCCATCATCTATCCACCTATCATCCATTCATCATCCATCTATCCATCATTTGTTTATCATCCATCCATCGTTTATCCATTCATCTATCATCCATCCAGCCATTGTCCATCCATCCATCCATCCATTTACCCATCCCTCCATTCATCCATCTATCCACCTATCCTCTGTCCATTATCCACCCATATATTTAGAAGCAGCTTCCTGAAGCGAATTTTTCCCTATGTTAAGCTTCAGTTTCTCATGCAGTAATTTAAGCCTTTGCTGTTCCAAGATTATATGAATTCATATGTACGATAATGCATGTTATTTGGTGAACAGGTTTGAATTTGAGTTTGTATTGGGAAAACAATAGTATAGGCTTTTGTTTTAGGCTTGAGAAATCATTTATCGAAGAATGCATCCCAGCCCTCTGTAGGCTAGATTTCTGGGCAGATGGCAACAATTCTGCTGTATTTTATGCATTACACACATGTTTTCAAAAGAGCCAGCATCATACCAAAGTTAGGTCTTATCTTTGTGGATTTGTGATGCTCAGTTGTTGAGTATTGAGTTTCCATGTTCCTCAAAACACTGTATTCCCTTTTTCCTAATCAGATTTGAGAAACATATATATATATATTTATTTTTTTTAAAGGCTTTTTTAGAATTTGGAACTACCCCCTGAATGAGCAGCTTTGCAAAGCTGGGTGAAGGCTTGTTGGCATGCCCTCATTGACTTAGGGCTTTCTGCCCGCTACATGTGGCATACCGTGTTTCCCCGAAAATAAGACATCCTCCGAAAATAAGACCTACTTACAGGTTTCCTTCTGAGTGAAATATAAGGCATCCCCACAGAAATAAGGCTCCCTCTCTAGGCTAAACATGAGAGATTTGGTCCACTGATTCTGAAAGAAATGGAGTCACAAGAAATTCACCAGGAAATTCAGGAATTGGATTGCTATGATGATGTTCCAGAAGATGATGACATGATTGTCATTGAATAAATGAGTAAATTAAAAAATATATATATTTTATTGATTTTTTACAGAGAGGAAGGGAGAGAGATAGAGAGCTAGAAACGTCGATGAAAGAGAAACATCGGCCAGCTGCCTCTTGCATACCCCCCACTGGGGATGTGCCTGCAACCAATATATATGCCCTTCACTGGAATTGAACCTGGGACCTTTCAGTCCGCAGACGGATGCTCTACCACTGAGCCAAACTGGTTTCGGCTAAATGAGTAAATTCTTGATACTATAGGATTCACAGTTTGTCTGGTTTGTGTTGACAACTACTGTACTACCATACCGTATACAGGTAATACATTTCCTTTATTTTCAATAAATGTGTACCGTATTCTTCTTCATGGGAAAATAAGACATCCCCTGAAAATAAGACCTAGCGCATCTTTGGGAGAAAAAATTAATATAAGACACTGTCTTATTTTCGGGGAAACAGGATATGTTATGGGCCTCGGGGTTCTCACTGTGTTTTCCTTCCCCAGGAAAACTACGATTTCCTGAACAAAAAAATCAACTACAAGTGGGACTTTGTCATCATGCAGGCCAAAGAGCAGTACAGGTGAGTGGAAGGTCCTGATCATCCTCGGGCTGTCCTCCCTCCCTCCCTTCCTTGTGTCCTTCCGGTAAAATAACCCTTTATGGGGCATTAAATAACCCAAGCATTGGGCGAGGCATAGGGAATACAGAGACACAGTCTAGGGGGGTCAGGCTGATGGTTGTGATGCTGCAGTGGTATGAGAGCCACAGGGAGGAGTTTGCAGAGGAGCTATAGAAATGACATCGAACTTGGAGGCATCCAGGTGAAGGACAGTGATGGTGCATGGAGTGGCGAGGTGGCAGACAGGACATGCTCAAGCCTGACGGCAGGGGATGGCAGAGGGTCTGGAGGCAGGGGATGCCCACTTGACGCAGGTTCTCATAGCAGAAGTGAAGAGCATGAAGCTTGGAAGTGGCAGAAGTGGGGATGGAGATAAGGGCCATGGGGAAATATTTTAAGCAGGGGAGGTATGTAATCAGACTCACATGTTAGCATCACTCACTACTGCTCTCATTTGCCTGCTGTTCACATTAGAAATGGAGCTAACATCCTTCTGGAGGGCTCTGTCTCATATATATATATATATATATATATATATATATATATATATATATATATATATATATATGTTATTGACTTCAGAGAGGAAGGAAGAGGGAGAGAGAGATAGAAACATCAGTGATGAGAGAGAATCACGGTTCGGCTGCCTCCTGCACATTCCCCCCCTCCCCTCCACTGGAGACTGAGCCCTCAACCTGGGCATGTGCCCTGACCGGGAATCGAACCATGACCTTCTAGTTCATAGGTTGACAACCACTGAGCCACACTGGCTGGGCTGAAGAGCCCTATCTTGTCCACAAGAGCCAGATGTAAATGCTGGGAGGGTGTATCAGTCAGGATGAGGTTAGGCTATTGTAACAAACAGTCCCCACATCTCAGGGGCATGAAACCACAGGGCTTACTTTGTGCTAGTGTCCCAGGGCCACTGTCGGTCACCCGGGACCTGTGCTAAGGAGCAGCACCGTCTCGGCTTTGCCTGTGTCCAGAGCAGTGGGGGAGAGGCTGTGAGGATCACAGGTGCTGCATGTTATCTCTGCTCACGATTTATTAGCTAAAGCAGGTCCCATGGTTAAGTCCAATTTCAAGGGAGGATGATGAGTGGGGATGTACAATATTTTCTTGTGTGTGTGTGTGTGTGTGTGTGTGTGTGTGTGTGTGTGTGTGAGAGAGAGAGAGAGAGAGAGAGAGAGAGAGAGAGAGAGAGAGAGAGAGAGAGAGAAATTGACTTGTTATTCCACCCAAGCATGCATTCATTGGTTGATTCTTGTACGCTCCCTGACCAGGAATTGAACTTCCAACCTTGGCATACTGGGAAGATGCTCTAACCAACTGAGCTAACCAGTCAGGCCATGGGGATGTACAACATGATTGTGTGTAGGTGTGGGAGTCAGAAATATCTGGGGACTGATGCAGTGGTCAGCAAAGTGGATTAAGCCCAGGTGGCTCACCTTCAGTCACCTTGCCAGGTCCAGATCCTGGCAGCTCTAGACTGGCTAGCACATGGCGGGGCTGGATGGTGGGGACCCTATTCTCAAGAAGCAGCCTGGAACCAGAGTGGTGGTGGATTAGTCAGGGTTCTCTAAGAAAAGAGAGCCAATCGTGTATAAATACACAGGTTAAGTTCCAAAATCTCTAGTTAGCAAACCCAGGAGAGTGGATAGTGTAAGTGCCCAGATGGTGTGAGTGCTCAGCATGAGCTGGGATGGGACACAGACATTCTGTCCATAGCAGTCCTTTTTTTTTTTTTTTTTAATCCTCACCTGAGGATATTTTTTCATTGATTTTTTTAGAGAGCATGGAAGAGAGAGAAATATCAATGTGAGAGAAATACATCAATTGGTTGCCTACTGCACACACCCCAACCAGGCCTTGGGCCAGGGAGGAACCTGCCACGGAGACACATGCCCTTGACCAGAATCGAACCCGGGACCCTTATATCCACCGAGCCAAACCAGCTAGGGCCATCGCAGCCTGTTTGATTCACCACTGTACTCCCAGTGCTTGGAACGTGGTGGGAGATCAGTACATGCATGAATGAATAAGTGAATGTGACGCTGTTGCTGAAAAATCACAATATGAAAAAAAAATTCATAATAGGACACTCTAAAATCATTCCCCATTTACTGGCTCCCTTGGGTTCCATTTGCTACATCTGTCTTCCAGTAACATCTACGAGGAGAACAGCAGAGCGAAGCCGGGAAGGACATGGGAGTAAATTAGCGAGCGACTCTGTTTACAAAGCTGACCAGCCTGATGGACACCTCACAGTGCCCCAGGCTCCGGAGGACAGGGGCGGGGGCGGGGAGGGGGGGCGGGGAGTGAACCTGGTAGAAAATCGAGTTAGGTTGGCAAGGGAGGGTAGGAGCGATGGTGTTTGTATTGAATTTCCCCAGGAGGCTGGCACAGCACCCCACTGGCGCGGCCCTCCCCACCCATCTGGGAGTCTGGATGTGGTTGTGTTATTCAGGACATTAGTTGGCGAATAGATCTGCCGGCTCTGTCTGGCCCGAGGCGTGTGCGTCATCCCAGGTTGCCTGGGAAAACAAGCGTCAGCGAGAGCGAGCGCAGGTCGCCGTGGAAATGGTGCTGAGTGGGGCCCCCGCACGATAATGGACGTGGCCCGGCTCCTGTAGGAGCCAAGCGCCGTATCGTTTCCTCTCCATCGTGGGGGAGGGGGAGGCCGGGAGACAAGAGGGAAAGGAAAAGCCCGTTGGAATAAGGAGTTGGGCTCAGACAAACCCTGGCTTGGCACACACAGTCTTTGAAGTGACAGAGCGGAACTGACAGGCAGGGAGGCGGGGACACGCCCCGAGGCCAGCGATCTCCCCATCACGGGCTCTGGCAATGCTGGCTGCCTGCAAGTCCAGATGTCACGCCTGTCGTTTAGCAAAGCAGGGAAATGAAGAAGGCAGGCGGGCAGGCGGCGGCCCAGAGTGCCACCCACGTGGGCCCAGAGGTGAAGGCGGTGGAGTGGATTGGACTCTAAGTTTGCCCCTGGGGGTGACTGCACCCCAGCACCATGATCTCAGGCAGAGCTGGACTCTGGGACCAGAATCCCAGTTCATGTCCTCCCCCTCCCCCAAACTTGCTGATGGTGGGACCCCCGATGGGACATTCAACCTCCCACGAAAAGCTCCCACGGAAAGGTCACTGGGGGATTAAGTGGTTAGACAGGTGAAAACACTGAGCAGGGCACCGGGCACCCGGTGTCGGTGAGCATTGGTTGTTGCCATCACCATTACGGCACACGCGGATTAGCCAGGCAGACTGGGCTCCTCAGGCATGGGGGCCGTCACAGAGCGAAAGATACAGAGTCTCCCTGGCCTTCAGCACAGCGTCCTAAAGAAGGAACGCTTACCCTTTGCGACAGCATGGAAGGGCACAGAGGGCAGGATGCTAACTAGACGCTGAGTTAGCATCTGGAGAACAAACCAAAGAGAAACAGACTCACAGATACAGAGAACAGACTGATGGTTGCCAGAGGGAAGAGGGGAGGGGGGACGGGTGAAAAGGGGGAAGGGATTCAGAAGGACAGATTGATGGTAACAGAATAGTCACGGGGATATCAAGTACAGACAGAGAATATAGTCAATAATATATATATTTAAAATATATTTTATTGATTTTTTTACAGAGAGAAAGGGAGAGGGATAAAGAGTTAGAAACATCGATAGGAGAGAAACATTGATCAGCTGCCTCCTGTACACCCCTTATCGGAGATGTGCCCGCAACCAAGATACATGCCCCTGACCGGAACTGAACCTGGGAGCTTTCAGTCTGCAGGCCGACGCTCTATCCACTGAGCCAAACCGGTTTCGGCTAATTAATAATATTGTACTAACTATATATCTCCAGGTGGGCACTGGAGATAACAGGGGGGAACACTTTGTAAAGTCTATGGTTGTCCAACCACCATGCTGTACACTTGAAATTAATACAAAAACATATCGCGTGCAAGCTATAATCGAAAGAAAACTTTAACTACTAATAACCTGAAAAATACACACAAGGAAAACATGGCTTTTGGCTTTTCAGGACCGGGAAGGAGAGGAATAAAGCAGACAGGTATGCCCTGGACTGCCAAGAGAAGGCATACTGGCTGGTCCACCGAAGCCCTGTGAGTATTCCTCTCTTGGTCTCACCGTCTCTCCCCAGCCTGCCACCCCACCCTGCACTCTCCACTCTGATGCCTCCCGCCCCCACCCTGCACTCTCTGCCCCTGATGCCTCCCACCCCACCCTGCACTCTCCGCCCCATGCCAGCCCACCCCCACCCTGCACTCACCACCCTTTTGCCAGCTCAGGTCCCTCTGGAGCTGGAACACTGAGGCACAGCAGGGGCTGTCCAGTGTCGAGTTAGCGTGCAGTGCCTTGTGGCTGGAGGAGGAAACGCACGCCTGGGTGGGCGCTGCTCATGGCCGATCTGGTGGTGGTTGAACCACGTGAAATTCCTTAAGCCATTAAACCTTGTTAAACTAGAATGAGTTTGTCTTTTAAGGGAACAAGGCCTTTTTTTTTTTGGGCCAGTATACCTTGAAAAGAAGTCTTAAGAAGAAGGAACTAGGACATAGGCTCCACAGCATGAAAACAAAATGCTGTGGTAGAGGGCTGGCACTCCGCAGACAGAGCCAAAGCCATGGCTCCCCTCCTTCCCTCTCCTGGTCTGCACCCCCGGCCGCCACCCTCAGGCTGGGATGGGAGGAGGCGAGAGGAAGAGTGAGTGCGGAGCCACATCTCTGGCGGTGGGGCTTTAAAGAGCCCAGAGAGACAAGCTGTGCATAGTGATGTGACTTGTCACGGCTCATCCCCGGGAAATGGTGTCCTCATCCACCACTGTTACCCCGGGGTTAGCTCTGCTGCCTCCGTTCACGCCTGTAGGCCCATGTGTGCCATGGACCATCGTGGGTAGGACATGGGGAAGGCGTTCTGAAAAGTGAAGAGTTCAAACCAATGTTCTTCCTCTTCCTCCTTGAGTTCTCTTGCTCATCAGGCAACCAAATTCTCAGAGCCGGGCAGCTAACTGGGTCAGTCGAGGTGCCAAAGCTCCCTGTCAGATTTTGGCTGTTTGGCTTGTTTTCTTTCTACACTCAGATACCCCACAGGGGTCCCATCGTGGGGGCATTGGCTCGGATGACTTGCTGCCGAGGTTAAGGAAGGTCCTGGGGTTGATCTCCAAGAAGCTTGCTTGGTGTTGCTTGGCGTCAGCGCTCTCCTCTGGGTAAACCAGTTGACCACCGCCCAACACGGGGCCGGGCGCTGGGTGACGATGGATGACAGGGCCCAGGGCACGGGAGCGCAGGAGTGAGCTCTCTGTCTGAGAAGGGAACCAAGCGCTGTTCAGCCTGCCTTCAGATGTCCGTTCCTAAAGGGGGACCCAGGGGGAGCCTTGGGGAGGATAAGGGCCAATGGCAAATAGGCCACTCCTTTGGCAAGATGCCCTGGTGCCCGGTGGCAGCCAAGACCGAGAGGATCCTGGTCCCTGCAGGGTGGGGATGGCTTCCATTGTACACGTGGGAGTCCGTGGTGGGGGGATGCCCATGTGACTGCATCCCTTGCAAAGTGACACAGACTGGCCCGGAACATGACCTTCCTCGGGTCCTGCTCCTCTGCTCCGTCCCTGAACCCCAGAGGCCTACGGGGAACAAAATGGAAATCAGATTATCCAAGTTCTCCCCAGTTCTCTCGGGGTAAGCACTCAGCCCCGGCACCAGGCAAATGGCTGGGTGGCTCTGCACTGGATGACTCAGAGGTACCTAAACTTGACAACGTGTCTCTGTGATGACTGCTTTCACCATCAGCTCACACCTCTACCACCTCCCACATTGCCCCACCGTCTCCACCTCCATCCCCACCATCACCACAGTTGACATGGTCGCTATCATCATCATCATCATCATCATCATCGACCTGAATCGAGGATTTTCATTGTGCTGGACACAGCCCTCCACATCCATCTACAATCACTGCCTTTCGAGTATTTCATTTTCGCAGTCCAGTGTGGGAGGCAGTATTATTAGCCCCATGCTGCCGATAAGGAAGCTGAGGCTCAGGGATGTTACTTAGCGGCCAGAGGCACACAGCTAGTGTGTACCGGAGTATCGGAACCCACAGACTGCACGGCCTTTCTCTCTTAGGCCCTCTACTCTGGTCTCCCAGGTCCACGCCACGTGATGTCTTAGTGCATGCAAGACCCTCTGGCAACCTCCGTGGTGATGAGAGCGTGGCATTGGTCACTGCTGCTCCACCAACCAGGCCGCCAGGGCTCACAGGAGCTGGTCCCTTTGCGGTAGCACCGGGGAGCCAAGTTCAGAACGAGGCTTTGACGCACGCGGAGCAGTTGTAAAAAATCCCTTGGACACAAAACGCTTCACATCCAGTCTCTCTCTTACTGCTCCCTGAAGTCGAAACCGGATCGTCCCAGATGAGGCCAGAGGGCCTGTGGGTCCTGCTCCCTCCACTTTCTGAAGACACTCACAGCCTCTTGGGGCCCAAGAGCACTGGGGTTAGGGCCGTGCTCTGCTTGGAGAGGGTCCAGTTTGGCTTCAGCGCTCTCCTCTGGGTAAACCAGTCTGTCTCGGCCTTCAAGCTGAGCAAAGCCAGGAAGCCCGGGAGCTCAGCACTGTCAGACCGTCTCCCAAAGACCCAAACAGACTCTCAGTTCCCTGGGAAGGAAGCCAGCCAGGCAGACAAAGCACTTGGCTCGGTGGCCTGTGGAACAGCCTGCGTGTGAACTGACGGGGACCCATTGCTCTGGGCGGGGCACGGCCTGCAGTTACCGAATCAGTTCACTCCCCTGTTCACTGGTCTGTCCACTAACCTGTGAAACCTTCAGGAGGCCCTGACTCTGTGCCAGCAGAGCAGTGAGGGTCCTGGCATAAAATAACTCAAGCTGAAAGTCGTCGTCGAGTGCCTACTGGGTGCCTGTTAAGCTTTTGGCACAGAAGGTCCCATTGACCTGGGGATGATGCTGTGAAGTAGGGAGTAGCCTCATCCCCATTATCCAGATGGGGAGATCAAGGCTCAGGGAGGTTCAGGAGCTGCAGGGGTGCACCTGTACTGTACAGCATGCCAGGGCAGCTGGCTGCGGGAGGAAGGGTCCTGCGTCAGATCGGGGATCCGGGAACACCTGTTCGCGGAAGTGATATTGAAGCCAAGATCTGCTTCGAGCAGGCTTCTTCAGCCCGTGCACCCAAACTCATCTCCCTGCTTCCGCCTCTTTGCCTGGTTTTATTTTGTTTAATAAAACTATTTGGAATTTTATTTATTACTAGAGACTCTGCGCACAGATTCATGCACTGATGGGGTCCTTCAGCTTGGCCTGCACCCTCTGGACCCTCGGGAGATGTCGGACTGCTGGTTTCAGCCCAATCCCTACAGGTCAGGTCGAGGGACCGCACTGATGCAGGAATCTGTGCACCAGGCCTCTAGTATGCATATAAGACCTTTGGTTAATCTCTTCTCACCCTCTCTCCTTCCACCTCCCCCCTTCCCTCTGTTTCCATGCCTGTGCATCGACATCCTCCCCCTGGTAGTCAGTGTGCATCATAGCAACCAGTCACATGGTTGCACGGTTGCTTAGGCTTTTATATATAGATAGAGCCCCGATACACGAAATTCACTCATGGAGGTGGGGTCCCTCAGCCTGGCCTGCGCCCTCTTGCCATCTGGGACCCCTCGCTCCTAACTGCTTGTCTGCTTGCTCCTAACCATCCGCCTACTAGCTCCTTACCACTTGGCTTACCAGCTGTGAGCCCAGCTCCTGGCTGAGCGGTGCTCCCGCTGTGGGAGCACACTGACCACCAGGGGGCAGCTCCTGTGTCAAGTGTCTGTCCCCTGGTTGTTAGTGCACGTCATAGCCACTGGTTGTTCTGGTCATTTTGCCATAACAGTCACTGGGCTTTTATATATATATATATATATATATATATATATATATATATATATATATATATATATATATATGTTTTGTTTTGTTTTCTGTCCCATGCACTAAAGGATCTTAACTGATATGTTAGGGAAGAGAGTGATGATGAGAGAAAGTGAGGCGAGCAAGAGAAGGGACAGGAGGGGCTTGGTGGAGTGTCAGCTGGCAGTCATCACAGGGATGCTGTTGCCCTTGTTTCCTGGGCACTGTCAGGCAGCTCTGGGTTATCTCCGTTCAAGCATCTCCTTGTGTGTCAGACACCACTTCTGCTGGCTCTGATGACTATCATGGGAACAAAGACTTTGCGCTACCTGATGAATGAATGAATGAATGAATGGAGCCTGGAGGTTTTCCCCAACTGGCAGAAGCAGAAAGGCAGCCCCCTGGGGAGTTCCAAAGGCAGGGTGCTGGGATGGGACACAGCTCTATAGGCACAGCTGAGACTTATACAAAGGCCGAGAGGAGGCAGGTGCCCAGGCAGCGGGGCAGCCCTTCTGTAGAGCTGAAGAGAGCGGGGAGGGCTGGCCCTGGACAGGCTGGCAGAATAACAGAGCCCCATGGGCGGCCCAGCTCTGAGTCCAAGGCTGTCTGGTCTGCGCAGCCCTGTGCCGATGATGGTTACACAGGTGCACCACTGAGCACTCGGGCGTCCACAGTTACATAACAGCATGAGTCAAGTTCAAGGGAAAGACTTGGAGAAGTAATTCGAGACTCAAGATGACTGCACTGGCACCGTGGAAGTGTGAGCATGCGTGCACTCAGAGTGGGTCTGAGTGTGACAGAGTGTGTGTGAGGGTATAAATGCGACTGCGTGTGATAGCGGATGTATTTGTGTGAGATATGAAAGTGGTATGAGAATATGTGAGTGTTTGAGTGTGTGTGTGTGTGTGTGTGTGTGTGTCTGTGTGTGAAGTCTTCAGTTAAACTGGGGGTTTCTTATACCAGATGGAGAGGGACAATTTCTGGAACCGACTGTAGGTAAAGGCCCTGATTCTGATGCCCCCGGCACCCCATATGCTGGGTTAGAGCAGTGGTCAGCAAACACATTAGTCAACAGAGCCAAATATCAACAGTACAACGATTGAAATTTCTTTGGGTGGGGAGGGCAATGGTAAGATTTGTACACAGATAATAATTTAATAATAAAAAAAAAGATTAAAAAAAGAAATTTCTTTTGAGTGCCAAATTTTTTAAACTTAAACTTCTTCTAACGCCACTTCTTCAACATAGACTCGCCCAGGCCGTGGTATTTTGTGGAAGAGCCACACTCAAGGGGCCAAAGAGCCGCAGGTGGCTCTTGAGCTGCAGTTTGCTGACCACTGAGTTAGAGCCCATTGAAGGCTGGTTTGGACTGTCCCTTCACAACACTTGTTATAACTGTAGCTCATCATTTGTGTGGTTAGTTGCTGAGTGGCTGCCTCTTCCTGCTGGGATGTTGGAGGCAGGGGGTCCCTGTCACAAGCACCACGGGCTCCCCAGGGCTGAGCACAAAGCCAGCCACCGGAAGTAGCTGCTAAGTATGTTGACTGAGGTCCACATGTAACAACAACTCGGGTGAGGACGGCCATCTCCTTTCATTGTCCTCCTCCCACTCATCTCCTACTTCTTTCTTTCTCTTTCCTGCCTAGGCGGTAAGCCCAACATTGGCCCGCATGATAGCCTGCTGAGCTAAGTTGCCAGATTTAGCAAATACAATCCATTATGCCCAATTAAACTTGAATTTCAGATAAACAGCAAATGATGTATGTCCCAATATTTTGATACTTATTGTGTAAGCTTCTACTAAACACATATGGAATCTATTTTTTAGGCAAAACCATATAATCAAACTATTTGTTATTTATCTGAAATTCAAACTGAACCAGGCACCCTAAAGTTTATTTGGCAGTCATTCTTCTGAGCTGAAAAATGTGACTGATCCTGCTGATGAGGCGGAATCTGATGGGGAGAGAGCCCAGAAGCTTCCTGTCTCTGCTGCAGTGAAATCAGCCTCGTTAATCACATGAGAACTTGATGGCTGCCTGGCGCCCAACCAGCACAGAGTTGGAAGTGCAAGACCCGAACTGCTGGCCTCAGAGAATCAGGAGAGACCAGGCCAGATTGGCTGAAGAGTCGGTAGCCTGATGGAGAAGGGAACTGCCCAAGCTTGAGACCCAGCGGTGGGCTAGGCCTCTGTTTACGCACACAATCTTGGAATGAACACAAGCCCTTGCTCAGGAATAGCGGGCTTCTGCCGAGAGAGCTTCACACTCCATTTTGTTAGATCCTTACAAGAACCCGACAGGCAGGAGCAGCATCTCCATTTCTCAGAAAGGAAGCATGTGCAGAGACCTTCCTCGGAGGTAGGAAGTGGCAGGACTAGGATTAGGTCCCAGAGGTCCCTGGCTGAAGCCTGGACTCTCTGAAGCACTGCACTGTGGGGTAGGAAGGAGCACCTGGGGAGAAGTTGGGAGTCCCAGATGTTAATCCCAGAGAACTCTTATTGAAGTTGAGTTTTATTTGTACATCAGATCATCCATCCACCTACCCATCCATCCATCACCCATCTACCTCCTCATTTATTCATCTATCCATGTAACCACCCATTTGCCCACATACTCACCAGAGCATCCATCCACACATCTATCTACCCTTTACCCACCTACTGACCCATCCCTCCCTCCATTCTTCCATACACCTACCCACTTATCTACCCATCCACTCATCCATCTACCCACCCACCTGTTCATCTACCCATCACCCACTTACTCACTCACCCACCCGTCCATCAGTGCATGCATCTCCCCATCCCACTGTGTTAGGGTCTGGGGATGCTGTGGTGGTGGAATGCTCAGGAAGCTCACCAGAGGGTCTTACACCCTCGTAGCTCTCCTTCTCTGGGTAAACCAGGGACATCAGCCCTTCTCAGCTCACTCTCACAAAGTTAATTGGAAACTGGAGACTCTCCCAGCAGTGGTCCTTATGTTATTTTTATTCCCTTCAGCCAGGAATGAACAACGTGCTGGACTATGGCCTGGATCGAGTGACCAATCCGAATGAAGTTCAGGTAAACCAGGTAGGTCTCTGCTGCCTACGTTGGGCGGACAGAGCCTAGGTCAGGGTCTTAGTCTGGGAAGACGCCCATCTGACTATTGTCCAGTTGTGTCTGTTGGGGCAATGATATCTCCCCTTGGAGAGAGCCAAAGAGAGGAGGACTATGGGCTCCGTGGCATCAGTGTTGGGGGCGGGGACGCCATGGCCAGGGCCCTGCATAAAGAAAGACAGGAGATCTAGAGTGCAGGTCGGAGCCAAGGGGATCCAGACAGTTGGCTTTCAGATTTTTCGGAATCACTTCTTCCTTTGAAAATCTGATGAAAGTTATGAAACACTCTGCCTAAAGACTCCCAGCAGACATTTTGCATACAATTTCAGCCAGTTCCCGGGCTTCCTGAAGCTTTATAGGCCCCAGGCTTACAACCTTGGAGTCAACTTTGGGTTTAAACCTTCATCCTCCACAGGACCTGGGATGCCACTTTTTTTCCTCCTTCTTTTCATCTCAGTAGGGTGGGATCTTTGCAAAGGTTCTCCTAAGCTTTTGTTTTAAAGGGACTCTTTTCCCCAATACAGCTACTATTGATGATGGATGGCCAATGTCCCATGATGGTTTCTTACTTAAAGAAAAGCAATTCATAAGCTGTTGAAACAGCGAGCATTCTGGGCAGGGTTTCTCAAACCTGGCGCTACTGTTTGGAGCTGTCCTGGGCAGTGTAGGATGTTTAGCATATCCTGGCCTCTACCCACTGGATGCCATTAACATGGTGCCTTTCCCTGCCAACCTCCCAGTCCTGACAGTCACAGACGTTGTCCCATGCACCCTGGGGGACAAAATTATCATGGGTGAGAACCACTGATCCCAGTAAACCAGCCTAAACCATATTGCAACTGGTTTCATTGGTTTTTCTCTAACTTTGTCTTTGGGCAGCAAGGGGTCAGTGACCTCTTTAGCCTAGTGTGTCATCTCTAAGCATAGGTATTGCCTTAAGGCCTGAGTGGGAGCCAGGAGGGAGAAGGGAGTCAGCGGGGAAAGAAAAAGCAGGAACAAGCAGGCCAAGAGGCAGCTGTGACATGTATACTTTTGCCCTCTGGGACCCAGAACTCAAAATGGCCCTGGGGACTTCTAACCAGTGCGTTAGACAGATGCCCAGGGATGGAGTCCATCTGGAGAGAGATTCTGTGTCCCCAGAGGGCCCCACGGGAGTGGGTGGCATTGCTAAGCCCCTTGTCCCCACTCAGAGTGACCCTTCCTTTGATACACTGTCAGCCTTCAGCAGCCTTTTCCACATTCCCCTCGTCAGATGATAGATAATTGCTGAGGCCTTGTCGCTTGGTTGCCACGGAAACAGAATCATCAAGGCAGATACTGAACCTGGCAGGAAGATGTGCTTTTCGCGTTTTCATTTTTTACGGGTAGAGCTGGTAGCTCTGGAAACTGCTGTGGTGGAGGTGGGGAGGGCAGAGGCGGAAAGCACAGTGCCTTCCCTGGTCAGGCTCCCAGGAGAGGGTGTCCTCCGCTTTCAAAGCCCATTTCTTGCCAGTTGCTGGCAATTTCCTCTCCTGGGTCGGAGGTCGGAGTGTGTGGTTTGGGCAAAGGGCTTGTCTGTCTGCTGATGTTTGCCATGGGGCTGCTTTCACTTGTTTACCATTGTCTCCTCTCTCTCTCTCTCTCTCTCTCTCTCTCTCTCTCTCTCTCTCTCTCTCTCTCTCTCTCTCCATCAGCACCCTTTCTCCTGTCTGCACTCTGGCTGTTGTGGAGAATTAAGAAGAATTAAGAATTCTCATGCAGGCGGGGCCCTCCTGCCTGTCCCCTCAGCCCGCCCCAGCGGGTGCCTGATCAGCTGTTAGGGAAATAGAGGCTGCTGCTGGGTTTTATCTGTCTGCAACATTTCCCCAGTTTGACTCTGCGTTCCCTGTTTTTCGGGTTTACCTGCCCTGAGAGGAGGGGGTGGTGGGAGTGTGGAGTGTCTCCTAGCATAGCTAGCTGCCTGCCTCCCAGCTCCTCTCTGCTGCTTTGCATTCACTGCGTCTGTTCTGAATTTCCTGGTTCTCCACTTGCTCTCAAAGCTTGCCCACCCCAATTCCTCAGGCCTCTCCCTGTCCCGTGTTTTGCTCTGTGCTTGCCTTTGCTCCCTCCCCGTCCCCCTCACCTCTTGTTTTTGCAGCTCCCCGCCTGGCTGCCTGATCCCAGGGTCCTGGCTTGTCCCTGTTCTGGGCTCCTGCACTTCTGGGCACAGTGGCCCGAGGCCCTCACAGCCCAGGGCCCTGACCCCTGCTGCCCTGGGATTATTGCCTGCAGCCCGCATCCGGCGCTCAAGGTCAAGGAGTGGGCCGCGGAGCTGGGTAAATAAGCTCCAGCTCTGTCCCTATTTGGGCAAATCTGCAAGCGAAAATAATAAGCTAGAATCCCAAGAATGCAGGGCATTTGGAGATTTCTTAGACTGAGCATCTCACTGTGCAAAGTGTGTTACCCAGATGAGGAATAGAGAGAAATGACCCCAGTCCAGGAGGGCCTACTCTGGGAAGGCAGGGGATCTGTGTGTGAATTCCAGGGTCAAAAAATGTTATTTTACCAGGAGGTGGCTTACTTTGAATTGCTTACAAGAATGTGTATGTATTTTTAAAATAACTTCACTTTATTTAAAACTAGAAGCCCTGTGCATGAAATTCATGCACGGGTAGGGTCCTTAGGTTTGGACAGGGATCAGGGGCGATTAAGGGCCTTCTGGCTGCCGGCTGAGGCCATCCTTTGTTCTACGCTGCCCTCTGGTGGTCAGCGCATGCCATAGAGAGCAATTTGACTCCCCGTCTACTGGTCAAATTCCCAAGGGGACACTTTGCATATATAGATTAATGTTTCTTATGGCCTTGGGCTAAGTAATAATTTTGATAGGTTTATGAAGTTTGGCAAATGAAAATGTAGGGTGGCCAGTTACATTTGAATTCCAGGTACATAACAAGTACCTTTTGTAGTGTGTACCAAAGATCGCATGGGCATCCTGGGTTTTATCTTGTAAGTAGGGCCAAAGCCATGCCACGTGTGTTCTCAGCAGTATGTGACCCCTACACCACTGGCCACAGTCACCTGTCTGTTGTCTCTCTTAATCTCTTTTTTTCCATTCTCCTTTCACCAATGAGAAAGCAGAGGCTTTGAAATGCTAAAAATCTCATCCAAAGTCATGTAGCCAACAAACCACAGAACCAGGATGTTGACCTTGGCTTGATCCCCACATCCACTGTCTTTCTTCCACCCACCTTCCCATCAGATTTTCTCTTTGTCTTTTAGAACCGTCCAGAACGCTCACCCCACACACTCCTACAAGGACAGAGATGCCCTGTGTCCAACTAGAACAGTGGTCAGCAAACTGCGGCTCTCGAGCCACATGCAGCTCTTTGGCCCCTTGAGTGTGGCTCTCCCACAAACTATTATACCATGTGCGGGTGCGCACGTACTACGCGATTGAAACTGCCCATGCACAGAAGTCGTTTTTTGGCTCTCAAAAGAAATCTCAATCGTTGTCCTGTTGGTATTTGGCTCTGTTGACTAGAGAGTTTGCCGACCACTGGTCTAGAGGAAGCCATCCTATGGGCAGCTGTCTTCAAAGCTAGAAATAAATGCTACAATCCACTCCCACTTGGAGGTGGGGAAACCCCAGATGCAGCTGTGCCTTATGATCAGAGAGCTCGCTGCAGTCCGATTCCCGGAAGGTCACTGGTCATCCCAGGAATCCAAAACCCAACAGTGAACCTCACCACCCAGGCAGGGCCCTAAGAGGGTAATAAAAGCCAATGCAGGGCATTAGCCTATGAAACATTTGGAACCCGGAAGACTGAGAGAATGGCCCCAGAAACAACCATGTGAGGCCAAAGTCTGACCACGCTAGGTAGGATAGAAATGCCCACAAGGACAGCCCGCCTCAGAGCCTGGAGAACATCAGGGTGGACTTGTCTGTGACCGTCCACGTGGGAGCCCAGTGGCTGCAGGATAGTGGCCGACAGGAAGTTGGACCTTAGGTCCCAGGCACTTGGAAGGAGGGTGTGTAGGATGCTGGCTGCCGAGCGCAGGTCTTGTACGATGTTGACCTTTACCATCATTCCCATCTCCCCTGCTCTCAGCTCCACAGAGATATTGACATGTAACATAGCTAAGCTTAAGTGATGATTAGAGACATGTGGCAACACATGACCACAGTAAGATTAGTGAACACCTACCTCTGTCCCCTCGCATAATTAGGATTGCGTGTGTGTGTGTGTGTGTGTGTGTGTGTGTGTGTGTGTGTGTTAACATTTAAGAGCTACTTGCTCAACAACCTCCAGGCCTGCACTTCAGTACCGCTAAGTACAGTCACCGCGTTATGCACCGCGTCCCCAGATCTTACCTATTTCCCCAGATCTTACCTATTTCAGCGCCGGGAGTTGGTTTTACCTTCATGATGTGAATTAAAGAGCGTTTCCTGTGTCTGTGTTCCCTCTCGGCGCTGGGGCTCAGCTCTCTTTTTACATTTTACTTGAAATGGCTGGACAGAGTCATTCTATTTGGCATCGTCCTCAGTGTCAGGCCAGGGCAGGCTATTTTCTGTTTCTCATGGATCCCTCCTCAGCTCCGCAAAAGACAGAGCTGGGTTCGAATCTTGGCCCGGCCACTTACTGACCAGGCGCTGCTGAAAAAGCTGCCCATAACCTCGTCCAGTCTCAGAGCGGAATGTGGGGACTCTAAAACCTCTCTCCTTCCACAGGTTTTAGTTTTATCAGGGCTCCACGAGGTGCACATGGCTTTGCACTAATTGCTAAGTGGTGGTTGTTATGCATCAGTCCAACATCCCTGTGAGCAGAGGGCAGAGGCTAGTCCGCACTATTTTTACTCCATTTCAGCAGATCACAACAGAAGCATCTGGTTACGTTAGGTTTGCACGCAAATCTGCTATGGCCCCAGGGTCCTTTCCTACCAGAAGCGTGTGTCTCCTGAAACAGCGCCCCATGTGGAGACAGAATGGGAACGCATAACCAGTGTGGTTGCCAAAATATTTGGATCAACTTTTTAAGTGGAGACATGTTCTATTAAGCTTAGAATACATCTCCATTTTTTTTTTCAGGCCTCAGTACATGGCAGTCATCATGTATTTAATATTTATTGAGCATCTACTCCACACCAGATATTACACTAGGGCAGACAGACAGGGCCGCCCTGCTCCTAATGGTGCCTAGTGGGTGATATGTATATTAGAGAGCTGCACAAAGAAATATATCATTAATTGTGATGAAGGCTGTGAAGAGGAAGTCAGGGTATGTGGGGGTCCCCAACAAGAGACCTACCTGAGCTTTACCTTCCTAGGATACCTCTCCCCACTCCCCCACCCGGGAAAAGGATTTCCTGTGAAAAGCAAGTATTATACATAAAAGCAATCTGATGAAGCAAAATAAAAACCGGCAAGGATTAGAGAGACGTGAACATGACATTCTAGGTCGGAACTTCCTGGTCCATAAGTTATTATTAACTGGCTGAGGAAAATAGTATCCTCCTTGGCCTTTTTACCAAGTGTGTGTGTGTGTGTGTGTGTGTGTGTGTGTGTGTGTATGTTGATTTCAGAGAGGAAGGGTGAGGGAGAGAGATAGAAACATCCATGAAGAGAGAGAATCACTGATTGACTGCCTCCTGTATGTCCCACACTGGGGATCGAGCCTGCAACCCAGGTATGTGCCCTGACTAGGAATTGAACCCTGTTCTTCTAGTTCACAGGTTAACTCTCAATCACTGAGCCTCACCGGCTGGGCTCCTGTGTGATCCCTGCCTCCCACTTGTGGTATTGGTGAATTAGGAATGAGTCTCACCATTGATTCAGCTCTCTCTCTCCTGTGAGAGGAGAAACAAACACTCACGCCGGTTCCCCATCTTTATCTCCTATTCCATTTCAGGTGGTTCGGAAGGCATGGCAGTAGGTGGGGACCAATCCCAAACTTAGTCTTTCCTGCATCTTGGCTTTTAGGAGAGCAGGGTCAAGTCACAGTGGTAAATCCTACCCTGCCTTCATCAAGTCTCTCAGTTGATCGAATTCTCCAGTAGTTGCCCAGCAGAGGGTGGAGGTGGTGGTGAGGGGGAAATTCTATCTTCTCAGTAAGAGCAGATGGACAGTTTTCTCATGGGGAGTGCGTTTTTATTTTCCAAATGGGCCTTTGGACTGTGATGATTTCATGGCATCTGTTTAACGGCTCTGGCTTCTTTGTTTTACAGAAACAAACAATCACTGCTGTCAAAAAAGAGGTAATTTGCCTCCCAGTCCCAGGGATGTTTGGTTTTCAATACTCCAACACGTTACCTGTACTTGGGCTTGAGGCTCTGCCTTCGGCAATGAAAGAAAAGCCACGTGTAACGTTCAGAGGACTGTTTACGAATGAATGGACATCACAGAATGGCAAAGCATCTTCTGCGAGATCTGAATGAGGCTGATGCTGGTCTCAGGTTCTGAGACACTCTCAGGAGACACCTATCAAATGCTGTGGGGACTGCATCCCCACCCTGGCCCTGGCCCTACAATTACAGGGCCGTTCAGAGTCTGCCCAGGGTGGCACAGGGCCCATTTTGACATGTAATCGTTGGCCATTGAGGTTAGATCTGCTTGGTTAACCATCTGTCCTCATAGCTTGGTTTAATGCTTCTTAGAATTCTCTTCTCCCCGGTTGCCCCAGCTGATGCCTTTTCCAAGAGCAACACATGATGGGTGAAGAAGGCCCCTCATTTGAAGTTTAGGATCACCCATCTACTGTGGGCCTGAGCCCTGTTGGTACTGAGGTGTCTGGCTTGAGGGGATGGAGCGGGATGCCGTGATGGGTGTAAGGTGTCTAGTTCTGGAGGCCATCTGTGACACCCAAGGGTGGGGCAGTCGGACATCTTCTGACAACCATGTCTCTTCCAGATCATGTATTACCAACAGGCCTTGATGAGGTCCACGGTGAAGTCTTCGGTGTCCCTTGGAGGGTATGTTCCTAACTTGTTGGTCTTGCTGAGGTGTGAACAGCGGATAGGCAAGAAGAGAACTTTTGCTTTAAGGCAAACTTGAGAGGTCCTAGACTGACTTAAGATCCGAATGTACTTTGTGGGACAAGAGGGGTCTTTTGGGGGTTGAGTTATTGGTGGTCCACTCGGTGCAAGTCTCCAGGTCTCATCTTGGGTACAGCAAAATCCGGGGTGGGGGAGGTTCTGCACAGGACTGTCATCTCTTTGGTGGTGGGAAGATGAGGCGAGTTCATGGGCTGGACCCTACTGGGGTCCATGGTAGCCTGGCATTGATGTGTTCCTAGTATCACCTTCCAAACTAACTGGGAAAAGGTGGGTTGTGGTCAGAGTCAGGGTATTATTAAGTGTCCATTATTAATCTCTGATCTGAAATCCAATGAAGACACATTGGACATTTAGGTTTGGTTTGTTGAATGTGCAGGCTACCTTGACCCAGTCCCCCCGAGGACGTTATCTGAGACACACAAAGGGTTTAGGGCCAAGATACAATGTCAAGAGCCTGCATTTTTTTTAAAATTAAATCAGTTACAGAGAAATTAAAAAGGGACTGGGTTGGGAGACAGCACTTCATTTCACAAGTAGAATGGGGACAGGTTTTCGTCAAATGCCTGCTAATCTGAGTGCTGTTAGTGTTTTCCTGAGAAAGCAGTAATAAGTAGGTAACTAAATCAATTAGGGAGGACAAGCATGGACTTAGTCTCTTGGGTGTTGAACTCCTCGGAAATTTTTTCCATTTGCTTTGCAGGATTGTCAAATACAGTGAGCAGTTCTCGTCCAATGACGCCATCATGTCAGGCTGCCTCCCCAGCAACCCTTGGATAACAGATGACACTCAGTTCTGGGATTTAAATGCCAAATTGTATGTATTCGATATGTTTTGAAATACAGCCTTTTGAAATACAGCTTTTTGACTAATTCACACGCCATACAATTCATTCACCCATTTGAAGTGTACGATTCAATCTTTTCTTTTACGATCTTCATGGATGGTTTGTGGACCATCACCACAAATCATTTTATTTTTTTATTTAAAAAAAAATATTTTATTAATTTTTCACAGAGAAGAAGAGGGAGGGACAGAGAGTTAGAAACATCAATAAGAGAGAATCATCGATCAGCTGCCTCTTGCACACTCCCCACTGGGGATGTGCCCGCAACCAAGGTACATGCCCTTGTCCGGAATCAAACCCAGGACCTTTCAGTCCGCAGGCCGACGCTCTATCCACTGAGCCAAACCGGTCCGGCACCACAAACTGTTTTTAACCACTTTCATCACCCAAGTGAGAAGCCCCCCTCTCCTACCCTTTGGCTATTACCTCTCCCCACCTCCAACCCATGCTCCTCCAGCTGCTGGCAACCACCATACAACTTCTGGTCTCTGGGGGTTTGCTGGTTCTGGACACTTCGCATAAACAGGATCCTATTCTATGTGGTCTTTTGTGATTAGCTTTTTCACTCAGCAACCTGCACGCATTAGTGCTCAGGCCCTGTCTATGGCTGAATGATAGTTGTTGCAAAGCTAGACCGCACTGTGGTTTTCCATTCCTCAGTTGATGGATATTTGGGTTGTCACTGCCTTTTCATTATTACGAACAATGTTGTTGTGATTATCCGTGTTCAGATTTTTGTGTGAACATACTTTTTCGGGTCTCTTGGGTGTATACTGCTGGGTCACATGGTAACTCTGTGATGAGCAGCATAATTGTTTTTGAAAAGAAGACAATTATCTTTATGACTTTGTGTCTTGGGTGTCTAATTAGAGTCAGACTAAGTTCCTGGAGGGCAGGGCCCTAGCGCTGCCCTGGCGATTATACTGCCCACTCCTCAGCTCTGCCTGTGCATTTCACTTTTAAAATGTATTTTTTATTTGTTATTTAAAAATTTTTTTTTTAAAATTGATTTCAGCGAGGAAGGGAGAGGGGGAGAGAGAGAAACATTGATAAGAGTGAATCATTGATTGGCTGCCTCCTACTCCCTCCCTCTCCCCCCACTGGGGATCAAGCCCACAACCTGGACATGTGCCTTGACCGGGAATCAAACTGTGACCTCCTGGTTCATAGGTGGTTGCTCAACCACTGAGCCACACCAGCCAGGCTGGCTGTGCATTTTGAATGGTTGTTGCTGCTAACTGTGCCTGCATAATCCGGTCATTTGGAAGAGGGGCAAAGTCAGTAATGCAGAGGGAGAGTGTAAGCCAGCAAAGGGAGAAAGCAATGGCATAACTGTCAAGTCAGAGGGGAAGGTAGAGGAGGAGGAGTGGGGAGGAGGGGCTGGTAGGAGTGTAAGACCAAGCTTACACCAATGCCAAGGCCGTCACAGCTGTATGGGGAGGACACAGGAGGCTCGGTGCAGCCAGGTAAGCAGGCACAGCTAGAGAGCCTTTCCCCCGGCCCAGGGAGCCTGCCCTGGGCAGCTGATGGTTAAGGAGGGCACTCGTGTGAGTTTGGGGTGTCAGTTGCAGAACAGAAGACTTCTGGGGAAGGGGAATCTTCCCTCCCGCACTGGGAGCTCTGGTCATCAGGAGGGTTTTCTGGACTCTGTGCCTGTCACCCAGTTATCAGACAGGAGAGGCCGCCTGCATCAGGCGGACAGGGTGGTGGCATTTAGCTCTCCAGGGAGGAGAGGGCAAGGTCACCCGGCCGGGGAAAGCGCTGTCCTGACAGGGTAGGAAGGAGACCTTTCAAAACACCAAGCGGAAAGGGACTTGCATCCTCCAGGAAGCCCCGGAGAGGGGCGGAGATGGCACCGGGGGCGTGTGGCCTGAGGCAGGGAGGAACATGGAAAAGGGCCAGCTGTGCGGTGGGTGACTGCCATCGAGGGGGTGGCTGTGTCCATGGCACCCACTGCAGTGCTGTTCTGGAATCCCCTCCCCCCTGGCCTGGCGTGCAGCCTGCCCTCTGCTGGCTGGCCACAGGCCCTGGAGCAGGCCTCCCAGCTTTTTTGCCCCAAAGGCCGAGAGCACGGGCTCTCCGTGGCCGGACCTTCTCACCTGGGGGTGGCTAGCTCCTGCTGGGAGGCTGTATTTTCCTAACAGCAGTGATTGCACGACAGAGGGGAACCAGGGCCGTGGGGCTGACGGAAGGAGCTAAAGCCTTCCCCCCAGTCCAGGCCGCCGCCTGGCACAGCCCCCCTCCCACGGGGTGTCCGGTGCATTTACACAGTGTCCTCCCTGCAGGGTGGAAGTTCCAACCAAGATGCGTGTGGAACGGTGGGCCATCAACTTCAGTGAACTGATTCGAGACCCCAAGGGGCGCCAGAGCTTCCAGTACTTTCTCAAGAAAGAATTCAGTGGTGGGTCTTTGATTAAAAAAAAAAAAAGGTTTAACATTTAGAAGCACTCCTGTCGTGTCCAGCACAGGGTTCCCCAGGGGCCTCACGGTGGGGGCGGGGGGAATTTCACTCGCTCACATGAATATTATTCACATTTTCATGCTGCCCCTCCACGCTGGCTGCCCCATTCCTTACCCTGATCCTGGGGTCACCAGCTCCTGCTCCGTGCAGCTCCCCGAAAGCGGACGAGGAGAGAGGCGAGGCAGAAAGCAAGCTTTCTGTTGTTGTTTCTCAGCCTGATGTCCTGTAGCTCCACGCTCCTCCACGCCGGCTGCTCATGCCCGTCACCTAGCGGGTAGTTTAGACGGCTCGCCCGGGACCCATCCCAGAGGTTCCTTTTTAGTTGATTTGGGGTGGAATTTCCCAAGGATGGAACACTCCCCAGGTGATTCTAATGTTGGCCATAATGGATGGCCGCTCTCCAGCGCCGCTTCCACCGGGGGCTTAGGAGGGTGCGGGTTTTAATGGCCCGGGTGGGGCCACGTTCTAGATCCATCCCATCTCTGGATGCCTCACACGGTAGACGCTTGCAACTTCTTAAATATACAGACAGCACTGAGAGACCCCTGGGGAGTCATGGTCAGGTCAGGACCATTTCACTGGGCTGAGCATTCCACTGGCTTCCACACTTCTAGTGAAACATTTACTTTTATAAAATATATATTTTATTGATTTTTTAAGAGGGGGGTAAAGAGAGAGAAAGAGACAGAGAGAGAGGGAGAGGGAGAGAGGGAAAGAAAGTAGGAGGGTAAGAGAGAGAGAGAGACAGACAGACATCGATCCAATGCTTCCTGCATGCCCCCTACTGGGGATGGAGCCAGAAACCCAGGGATGTGCCTGTGGATGTGCCCTGACCAGGAATGGAACCAGCAACCTTTCTCATAGGAGGACGCCAACCCACTGAGCCACGCCACCAGGGCTGAACTATTTACATTTATGGGGTTCATTTACTTCCTTACCAAGTCCCAGCTCTGGGGAACACCACATGAGTGCCTCATCATTCAGCTGCTTATTCCCCACGGCCCACCTGTCTGTGGGGTTGTTCCTGAAAGTACCCTCGAGGGACGTGCTGTTAGGGGGTTGGATGTGACACATTACATTATAGTATGTATTCTTGAACATCCTTCTTTCAGATCCAGCCGAATTGCTATGCTACAAGGAAACGCATTGTAGATGGTGGGGAAGGGGAGAGCTTTCCGAACCAGACAGAAGCATCTGGCCAATGAGTGGAAAGGGTGCCATCTAGTGGCAAAGTCACAACCCACACCCCGAGTCTCTCCCACCCACGCATTACTTAGTAACAAAATCTGTGGAAAGGATTTCCCTGCGTTATCAAAATAGCGCTATTGGTGATCTCCTCGTGACATCCCCGAGGCTCCAGGAATGAACAGGGCAGGTGAATCATCCGTTTTCTCATTTAATTAAAAAACCATTAAGCCCTAACCGGTTTGGTTCAGTGGATAGAGCGTCGTCCTGAGGACTGAAGGGTCCCAGGTTCGATTCTGGTCAAGGGCATGTACCTTGGTTGTGGGCACATCCCCAGTAGGTGGTATGCAGGAGGCAGCTGATCAATGTTTCTCTCTCATCAATGTTTGTAACTCTATCCCTCTCCCTTCCTCTCTGTAAAAATAAAATAAAATAAAAATCGATAAAATATATTAAAAATAAACATCTTTATAAAAAAAATCATAAAATTGAGATATAATTCACATACCATAAAATAACATGCCATGACCCACATACCCTTTTAAAGGGTACAATTCAGTGGTTTTAGTTTATTCACAAAGTTGTGCATCCATTACCACTATACAATTCTAGAACATTCTCACCACCTCAAAGAGAAACCCCAGTAGAAATTTCCGGTTCTTCTCCCTTCCTCCATCCGCACGTCCCCCCAGCCCTAGGCAACCACTAATCTGCTTTCCATCGTCTCGGATTTGCCTCTTTTGTCCGTTTCCTGTACACGGAATCACAAAGCAGGCGTCCCTTTGTCTTCTTTCACTTAGCGCAGTGTTTCCAAGGTTCGTCCATGTGGTAGCACACTTCAATGCCTCATTCCTTTTCACCACCGAATAAGATTCCACCATGTGGACACACCACATTTTGCAGACGGGGCCCTATCGCCGAGCGACGCATGTGTGGTCTTGTTCACGCATGTGCTACCCCTAACTTCCAGGACAGAGAACACGGCAGCCTCTGGGGGCTGACGTGAGCGGAGCTTGTGTCCTTGGGGACGGAGCAATGACCACAGGAGACACCCCTCCAGCTGCTGTCAAAGACACGTGTGCAGCAGACATAGGTCAATGGGTCGGCATGGCTGCTCCTTGTTTTGTCTGGCCCACAGGCACCGCGCAGCTGGGAACTGAACCTATCCTGGCTGACCCGTTTCTCCTCTTTCCTTCTCCCCGCTGGTTCCCTGTCTGGCTTTTGTCTCCCTGTGCAGGAGAGAACCTGGGCTTCTGGGAAGCCTGCGAGGACCTCAAGTACGGAGATCAGTCCAAGGTCAAGGAGAAAGCGGAGGAGATTTACAGGTGAGGATTAGCCACCTAGTTGGAGAGCCGTTCCTTCCCCCCCACCCCACCCCATCGCACACCCCTGGTGTCAGCCAGCTCAGTCCTGCACCTGCCATGCTATAAATACTCACTGTGCTGATCCTGGGGGAAGGTGCTTACCTAGGAGTTAAAGAAGCAAGCTGCCCTGAATGACAGTGCTCTGTCTAAGCGCCTTAGGTCTTCTGAGAGATAGGTGCGCCCGTGCCAGAGAGAGAGAGAGAGAGAGAGAGAGAGAGAGAGAGAGAGAGAGGCCCATGCGGGGAAGGGAGGTCCCCCAAATGTCCAGGACTGTGAGCCCAGCCTAGGATACAGCTGTGGGCACAACACTTATGTTGCCGTTACCGGCTCCACCCCGCTCGCTGCGTGTAGTAATAAGCCTATCCCTCCACGGGCCTGCCTCTCCTCCGAATTCCCCTCCAAACTACCAGCAGCTGAGGGTGTCCCTTCAGGGGGCCAGTCCTGCTTCTGGTGGCCGGGTGGAGAGGGAAGGGGAGTGGTGAGGCCACCAGCACAGCCACGGGGCACAGCTGCCAAGATCGGCACCCGCCCCTCCTCCCCCGGCCGGCCGCTGGTGTCTTGCTGTGGCCACATCCTGGCTGGTCTCCTCTGCACTGGCCTTTTCGGACACCTGTCTCGGGCTCTGAGGGCCCAGGGCAGAGAGGGAGGGAGAAGGAGAGAGAGATAGAAACATCCATGATGAGAGAGAATCATTGATCGGCTGCCTCCTGCACGCCTCCCACTGGGGATTCGGCCCGCCATCCAGGCCTGTGCCCTGATTGGAAATCAAACTGTGACTTTCCCGGTTGATAGGTCGACGCTCAGCTACTGAGCCACACCAGCCAGGCAGCTGTGACCTTACTAACCGACTTGGCTGAGCTGCTTTTTGCTAACATTTCCCTCCCCGCCCCAGGCTCTTCCTGGCCCCCGGGGCGAGGCGGTGGATCAACATCGATGGCAAAACCATGGACATCACGGTCAAGGGGCTGAGGCACCCCCACCGCTATGTGCTGGACGCAGCGCAGACCCACATCTACATGCTCATGAAGAAGGTGGGTCTTTGGACAGCCTGCTTGTTGCTTTACTGTCTCTATATCTATCTTTTGGTTCATCCGTTTATAATGTTCTTTATGATCCATAAATGAGTGAGGTCATGTGGTGTTTCTCTTTCATTGACTGGCTTATTTCACTCAGCATGGTGTTCTCCAATTCCATCCAGGTTGCTGCAAATGATGAGAATTACAGCGGGGAGGGGAGGGAGATCTGGGGGAGATAAGAGATCAACCGAAGGACTTGTATACATGCATATAAATACAACTGATGGACACAAAACTCTGGGGGGGGGTATGTATGGGAGGGGGGTGGGCAATGGTAAAATATGTACACAGATAATAATTTAATAAAAAAAAAAGCAGGTGGGTGCTGATGGAGCTGGTGGTGGTGGGGGGGCAGGGGCCCAGAGAGTTCCTTTGTATGGGGGCAAGGGACGCGGCCTGTGGCTACAGTTTTGCGGGTGCTGTCTCTCTAAACGCTGGCTCTTCCATCCGTGCCCTGGGCTGGAACCCCCTGGAGCCTCCAAGCTCGCTGGCTAGGGGGACCCCCATCCATGCCGTGTGGTTCCACTGGGTCTCTCGCTCCGCAGCAATGCCTCTCTCAGGATGGTGTGCTCTGAGAGCTATCGATGACTGAGGGTTTGCAAGACGCAGTGCGCTCAGCAAAGCATGGAGCTTTGTATCAAAGACAGTCCAGGAGGTGGGGAATGGCAACTCCGGAGTCTAGCAGTTTGCTCGGGGGTCCCCCCAGAGGTGGAGCCAGATTCAAGCTGTGCTCCTCGGAGCCGAAGGCTGGCCCTCCCTCCCTCCCTGCCTCCTGTGGATGGCGGTGGTCGGGACCGCTTTTGAGGTCCGTTGCTTTGGACACACACACACACACATACACACACACACACACACACACACATAAATGGCTTTCACGCAAGGAGACACATTCTCTTCACCTCGCCATCTAATTGCCGAGGGAGGGCTTGAAAACGGCAAGTGTGTTCATTTGATTTGACACGTTCCCTCTCGTAATTACTGTTTTCCTCTCATTCCCACTAGGATTCCTATGCTCGCTATTTGAAATCTCCCATCTATAAGGAAATGCTGGCCAAGGCGATTGAGCCTCAGGAAACCACCAAGAGAAGGCAAGTGGAAGGCCTGTGCCTGCCAGATACCTGCTGTTTGTGTTTACAGAGAATCGGGGGTCTCTTCCAGGCCAGTGGCCATGGTTGAGAGATATGTGTTTAGTGGAAATACTGCGGACTGGGATGTATTTCTTAAGGTATGATGGCCTCATTGTCCTTAGAATGCCCTGATATCATCCTAGCAAGATTTCCTTCATCATTATGGCCAATGAGCTGTTTTCCTCTTGTGCTGGTTTGCAAGCAAGTGTCTTACTAGACTTATAGTTACACTTATCACAGATAGAAGCAACTCATTGGTGTTTTTTTTTTTTATAATTAAAACATTTTATTTTTTTTTGTAATGCATTGGTTTTTAAATCTCTATATATAAAACCCTAAGCAACCAGTCGACCGTTTGACCGGTTGACCATTTGATTGGTTGCTATGATGCGCACTGACCAGCAGGGAGCAGACGCTCAATGGATAAGTTGCTCCCTAGTGGTCAGTGTGCTCCCACAGCGGGAGTGCTGCTCAGCTGACCAATGGGCACCAGAAGCCTGGCTCACAGCTGGGGAGCACAGCTGGCGTGGCAGGTGCAGTGGGGCTGGGATGAGCCCGAGTGGCTCAGCGCCTGGCCTGGGTAGGGCTCCTCCCTGGCTGCCTGCTGCTTCGCGCACTACTACATCCCTGGGGAGATGTCAGACTGCCGGTGCAGGGATTGGGCCGAAACCAGCAGCCTGACATTCCCCAAGGGGTCCCAGATTGTGAGAGGGTGCAGGCCAGGCTGAGGGACCCCATCGGTGCATGAATCCATGCAGTAGGCCTCTAGTATATATTATATATAATTGATTTCAGAGAGGAAGGGAGAGAGAGAGAGAAACATCAATGATGAGAGAGAATCATCTGCAGGCTGATGCTCTATCCACTGAGCCAAACCAGCAGAGGCCATTTTTTTAATTGCTGTACTTCTCCCCCTCCCTAATGAATGGGGATTAATTTAGTCACATCTTTGTATCCTTGTAATGTCCTGAGACCTTACAGGGAATAACAGAACGTACCACCAGAGAAATGGTAGATGGTTAGGGGAAACGAACAGTGACGTTCCAAGCATTCTTGGGGACCCTTTCAGTGTCTGTTGTCAGCACCTTCCTCATTGGGGATGTAGGTCATCTCATCTGGCAGAGCCCTGGCACGAAGCATGAAATCATGTTCTGAGGGGGCAGTTTGAGCTCTCCTTTTGGCAAAAAGAAACCTCTATGGTAGCAATTTAAAAATATATATATATATTTTATTGATTTTCACAGAGAGGAAGAGAGAGGGATAGAGAGTTAGAAACATCGATGAGAGAGAATCATCAATCAGCTGCCTCTTGCACACCCCCTACTGGGGATGTGCCCACAACCAAGGTACATGCTCTTGCCTGGAATCGAACCCAGAACCTTTCAGTCTGCAGGCTGACGCTCTATCCACTGAGCCAAACTGTCCCGGCTATGGTAGCAATTTTTGATCTTTGTTATCTTATGGCACATATAAACTAATTACTAAAATTCCGCAGCACACCAAAAATACATTTTTTTGGCCAATTTGACAAAAAAGTTATAATTTTGATTGATTTACAAAAAAATAATAATAGTAATCACCTACGCATTTTGCTCCAAAATTACTTTTAAAAAAATCAGGTGTCTCTACTTGTATATAAGGATTTGTGGTATGAAGAATTAACCATTAATAATTCAGATGCAACTTGATTATGTGATGTGACCAATAAGATGCAACTCTGTGCCTGGCCGATGTGGCTCAGAGGTTGAGCATAGACCTATGAACCAGGAGGTCACGGTTCGATTCCTGGTCAGGGCACATGCCTGGGTTGTGGGCTCTATCTGTGGTTTGGGGCATGCAGGAGGCAGCCAATCACTTTCTTTCATCATTTAGGTTTCTCTCTTTCCCTCTCCATTCCTCTCTGAAATCAATCAATCAATCAATCATACACACACACACACACACACACACACACACACAAATGTAACTTTGTTATATGACCTATATATTTATGGTTCAAGACAGGGAATTCACACCAGGTAGCTATTGCTGTGTTAGCTGTCGTCATTTTTTTTTTTTTTTTTTTTAATTTGACACTCTTAGGGAAAGAGCTCAGTGCCCCTGACTTGATAGGCAGGTATTGCATGTTTTAAACATTCGTGCAGCACACCAGTTGAAAAATCTCTGATCGATGGCGACTGAAGATTCAAAATAGTAACCAAAGACGCGGGACTTGGGCAGAGGTGTTCCCAGCGCCAATGCATGGCCTGTCCCCGCGGCGTTAGTCAATGTTCCCGCTTGCCAGCTCGGCCCACGCTGGGCTCCTATCCAGCATCTCCAGTCAATTCAAAAGCACGGTAGTTGGACCGGAGCCTTCATCAAAGGAGCTTTATAAAGAAAACCCAACTCGGTTTCATTCTCGAGGATAATGGCGCTGTTATGAAAAGGAGAGAAAGGAGGTCTCTGTGGTGCTATTCTTCTCGGTTACCAGGGGAAGGAAGGGAGTTCAGGGTCCCTGGGGATTTGAAAGCGTCTCCTTTAAGCCACAAGAAAGGGCCATAATCGCTCCACAAGTCCTGCCAGGAAGTAGTGGGGAAGGAAGGAAGGGGAGTCTCGCATTGCTCTCTCCAGAAGCTCCGTGAGCCGGGGCGGACGGAGAAACCAGCGAGGATCTCCTGGGCGCCGGGTGCCGGGAGGGCTGCGTTGGCATCGGGCCCCAGGTGCGGTGAGAGGCGCTGGTGTTGGAGCCAGGCGATGCTGTTCCTGCTGCTGTGGCCAGGGGTACGTGTGGGAACGCCTTTGTGACATTGAAGCTCCGCCTGTGACCGTGGGGGGTCATGGCGAGTTTGAGTTCGTCCCCTGATATGTGGGTATAAGGCTACGTATAAAACTTCATTTTTCCAGAACAAGTTACATCGAGCACTCCGCCTTCGCTTGGCAGGGCTGGTGGGAGATCCAGTATTGGGCATGCCTTGCTGTGGGGGAGCCCTCCTCTTCCCCAGGATAGATAGAGTTCTACAGGCTCCTGTAGTCCAGAAATTTGGGGATAACCTTTGCTGTTAAATGCTAGTCTCCCGGCCTGTGGGTGGCTCAGCTGCTCCCTCTCCCCGAATGAGTCAGACCCCTAGAGCACTGTCTGGCTTCTTCCAAGGCCACGTCAAGAGCGTTTGGTCCCAGGAATCCACGTTTAACCTCCGTGGAAGGTTCTGACTGCCTGGGTGCATGTGCATGAGGCCAACAGCTCCCCAACCCTCTTCCGGTCCCTTTCCCCTTTCTTGGCCCACTGACCTCCTAACTATCCCATCTCTTCTCCATCCCTGAACCTTGGCTTTACTCCAGCTCTCCCTTGAGGCAGGAACCCAAACCCTCCTCTCTCCCTCCTTCAGGAAGAGCCTGCAGGAAGTCAGGATGACAGGTTGACTTCGAAAGGTTGTAGGTGTGTCTAATCATCGCCACCCAAGCAGGCTCCCTGGCGCCCCGCCTAAAATCGGATGGCAGTTGGGGCTCACTCTGGTGCCATGCTCCAAGGGAGGAGAAGAGGGCTGAGGTCGGACACACCGCTGAGAGCCCCACCTGAAGTTCACCAGGAGCAGGAGGGGACAAGTCCAGCTCTGGCCTCCCAGCCCCACCTCCAAACCGGGTGCGGAGAGGCCATCGCTGGGCAAGCCTTGTGGCTTTCTGCTAACCACCCATGCCATCCCTCCTTCCAGCTCCAGCCTCCCGTTTATGCGGCGTCACCTGCGCTCCAGCCCGAGCCCCGTCATCCTGAGGCAGCTGGAGGAGGAAGCCAAAGCTCGAGAAGCGGCCAACACGGTGGACATCACCCAGGTCATGAGCAAGCTGGACCGTAGGAGCCAACTCAAAAGAGAGCTGCCTCCTAAATGAATCTGCCATTGCTGGGGGTGCCGGGGGCAGGCCCTTGGGAGAGGCAAGCAAAGGCAGGGTCAGAGTCTAGAAGTGTCCATCCCTGGTCAGTGGGGAAAATGCATCACTCCTCTGACCTCCTTCATGGTGGCTTCCCAATACCACGGCAACGTGAGCTTAGCTCTCTCACCCCAACAACCAAGGGGCAATATGTGTGCAGGATGAGGGGGAGGTCTCCTGACTCAGTTGCTGTGTGACCACCTATCTCACCATCGGGGGTCCTGGTAGTGAGAATCATAGAGAAAACAGGCTGACTTGTGTTCCATCATTTGCTGTGAAAAATTAAAGAGAAGGCCTCTCTGCCCCCTACTCAGCCCAGGCATAGTTCTTCAGGCACATTTGTTTCAATAGCTCGGTGAAGCGCCTCATCCCGTCTTTTCTCTCCAACTCAGACGTTGCTTCCAAAGCAGTTGGAGGCCCCGCCAAGAGACTAGTTGCAGGGTTTCCCTATAGATAGATGCACGTCACTGCACGCCTCTGCTACACCCGCCTGGAAAGGCCCTGCTAAGACATGTCTCTTGAGCTTGTGCTTAGTCACAGTTAGCGAGGGTGGGTGGGCCAGAGACATGAAAATACCAGTGGAGTGCTTACTTAGGACAATGCCTGGCATGTCAGAAGTGCTCAGTAAAGGCTAGCTGCTGATATTATCAGCACAACAGTTGTAATCATCACCATCATCGCCATCATCACCCTCATAACTATCATCCCTGCCATCACCAGCATCCTCATCCTCACCACCATCAGCAGCAGTACCAGTATGATCCTCCTCACCAACAGTATCATCACCCCATCATCACCATCATCACCATCATCACCATCCTCCTCCTCCTCATCCCTAGTAGCTTCATGGTCTCAGAGTAAGCTTGTGCTTTCTTATCGCTGCCAGTGTTGTCCAATACAGTGATTTGTTATTATTATTATTTTTTTAATATGTAGGGATTTCCTGAGGTATACCCAAACCATTTTATGTCTCTCTCAAAGTCTTGCAGTGTGGCCCTCCCAGCTCTCCAGGGACCATTAGGACATGGACATGTTCAAGGGGAGGAGATCAGGGCGTTGGTGTCCTGTCCTCTGTCTGCAGCTCCCGCGAGAGGACTAGCCAGCAACAGTGTAGTGACTGGTCAGGCCTTGGGTAACGAGTTCCATGGCTGAAGTAAAGGCCCAAATGAGAAGGACTGTGTTGGGCTCAGGATGAGAGAAGGTGCTCACCCAAGTGGATTTGCCCTCATGGGGCCATCTTTGCTCATTGGCTTTTGGGGACGGCGAGGGAAGAGCGAGTGAGAAGGGACTAGTGGGGGTGACGGCGCACACTGCATGCTCAGCCTGAACGCAGCCCTCTCCTCCCCTGCCCACTCCCAGGAAGTAGGAGTTCAGGGGGCACAGGTCTCATGGGAATTCTCACTCAGTTTCCAGACGGAAAACGAATCGCTCCTCTTGCGCCATCTGCTTTGCCTTTCATTTCAATCCTGTGATTGTGTCCTCATGTCAACACACCTGCCCATTTCATGCTCCTCCCCCCACTCCTCCTGGTTCCCTTGCACAATAAAACAGCAGCACAAGCCGAGCCAAGCTCACCGTCACTGCGTCTCTGTCGTGTCTCATTTCTTCGCCATGTGCCTTGCATGCCACCGCTTTGCTGCTTCACACCAATGGTGGGTGTGGCATGGGCTGGAAGGGCTGGGTCTGCAAGTGTAAGCCTTAGGCCTCTGGGGGGGGAGCGTCCAAGGTCATCATGACAGGGGTCGGGGGCGGGGAAGTGGGGTTTGGAAGGGGTAGGAAAGGCATCCTGCTTAGAGTGCCCAGGGCCAGTTGGGCTCATGGCTATTGGCCGGAAGGTAGGACCTTCTCAGGCCAGGTGAGTGAAGCAGGACAGCAGCCACCTTCCTTACCTGTACTGTCCTTCATCCTGGAGAAGAGGAGAAGCTGGGGAAGGAGTCAGGTGGGGAGAGGGCACAGAATTGGGGGGGGGGTAAAGGGAGGGACTCCTCCTGTCAAAAGCTGTGTGATCTTGGTCAAGTTGCGTCACCTCCAAGAGCATCAGTGTTTTTATCTGTAAAGTGGGGGTTCTAACAGGAGTTTATCACTAATTCTGAGGAAGTAGGAGTCAAGTGAATGGACTGGGGAGAGGGGAGGGGGGTGTCCTCAGTCAGCTGAGGGCGGAAGACACTTTGGTGTCTTTATTGCTCCTAACAAAGTTTACTTCGTGGGTTTGGTGTTTTAGTTCATTCTCAGGACCCCATGTCCTATCCAAACCCCACAGGCCAGTGATCAGCAAACCGCTCTGTTGACTAATGAGTTTGCCGACCACTGTCATATACTACCATTTACCTCTTTGCACACAATATGCCACAACTGCCTTATCCTCACAGCTTCCAACTACATTTAGCCACTGCCACAGGCAATGGGAAGGCAATCCGTATCTGCGCATCCTCAGGAGGGGACACAGCCAACCCCGGCCCATGACCCTGGGAAGGGAAGAGAGGTGACAGAGGGGAGCTCCCTGAACTTTCCGATTTTAATTTTCCAGCTCAGGCAGGCTCTCTCAGGCTCTGTCAGCTGAAGCACACCTGACCCCGCCCTCCCGCTCCGGTGCTACCGGACATGAGGGCCTCGGTGGTCCAGGGAGGTTGAGCCCGTTCTGCAGTGAGGAACCTCCCTCCCTGTATTGCCTGCCTCCTTCTCCTGGCTTGTCCAGGTCCCACACGCAATCTTTCCTTCCAACCACCTGCTCTGCCCGCAGGAGGCATGGGAGGTGCTGGGTCCAGGCCAACCCCCAGGTGTGTCTGTGGACACAGGTAGGGGTTCAGGTCAGCGCGTGTGGTCTCAGGCCTGGAAGAGTCAGCCAGGCACCAGCTGGGGCTTCTCCTGCCATCTCTGTCACTTTATGAAAATGTTTCTGATGCCTCCAGCCCTGAGGTTGGGAACCAAGAATAGAGAAGGGATGATGACGTGTGGCAGGTACGGAGCATTGGTCCCTGGGGGACTGGACCCGAGGGGGGATTGGAAATTCACCTGGCCCCAGCATCCCAGGCCTGGAGGGTGATCAGCCTGTGCCTTGGGATGTAGGGCCCATGTCTGGGGACCAGGGCTTGGGACAGGGCTTGGCGGAAGGCCTGTGTCTGGGCCATTGTCACAGGTGGCTTTGGGCACCCTTTCCAACCTCTCAGGTGAAGCCACGCCAGACCTGTGCTTGGGACACGGGCAGGGGCCGAGTTATCAGAGGGCAGCCCCTGGGCCCATGACCAGCCACCCAACTCACCCTGAGCTCTCTTTCCTTCCCTGCAGCCTGGCCAGCCCGCCGCGCCCAGCCCCCACCTGGCCGTATACACGGGGACTTGCGTGCCCCCCTCTCCTTCCAGCCCCTTCTCCTCCTCCTGCCGCTCCCCCAGGAAGCCCTTCCCCTCGCCAGGCCGCTTCATGCGGAGGCCCAGCAGCACCGTCTGCCCCTCGCCCATCACGGTGGCCTTGGAGGGCTCGGAGCAGAAGGGCGAGGCCGGTGGACCCTCCGGCCTCGGACCTTCCAACACAGACACCAGTGAGGCCTCCGCCAACGGCCCCTGGCCCCGGCCTCCGCCCAGGGCCCCCCTCAAGTCCCGTGTGGCCCTGTCCTTCAGCAGTTTTCTGAGACGAGGCTGTTTGGCCTCCCCCGTCTTTGCCAGGCTCTCGCCCAACTGCCCCCCGGTGTCCCATGGGAAGGTGCAGCCCCTGGGAGAGGTGGGCCAGCAGCTGCCACGGCTGAAATCCAGGAGAGTGACAAAGTAAGTGCCAGTGGGCACGGTGCTGTGTGTGTGTATACACGTGTGTGGATATGTGAGCAGGTATCTGCTGGGACACATGTGCATATGTGGGCATCTCTGTGGCATATGCATGTGTGCGTGCGTGCACATATGCCTGTGGGTGTGTATGTGTGTATGTCTGCACATATGCCTGTAGGTGTCTATGTGTGCACATATATTTGTGAGTGTGTGCATACATGCCTATAGGTGTGTGCATGCGTGTATGTGTGCAGATATGCCTGTGGGTGTGTCCATACATGCATGCATACATGTCTGTGGGCATGTGCACCTATCTGTGGGCATGTGCATGTGGGTATATCTGTACACATGACTCTGTGCGTGCATGTGTGTATGTGTGCACATATGTGTATGTGTGCATACATGTCTGTAGCTGTGTGCGTGCATGAGTGTGGGCACGTCCACATGACTGGGCATGTTTATGTGGGTATATATGTGCACCTGTCTCTGTGTGTGCATATGTGTTTGTATACACATACATCTCTGGGTGTGTATGTCTACTGATTCTTTCCATTGAGTGTTCCCCCTGCACTCTCATCCTCGCTTTCCTCTTGTGTCTGAAGCTTTTTTCAGATTAAAATGGATGTGCCTGTGGAGAGTGGCACCTACCTGATGGACTCGGAGGACACGGGACCGGGGACCTCGGGTGACCAGGCCATCAAGAAGGAGGTCATCTGCCCCTGGGAGAGCCTGGCCTAGGGCACGGCTGGCTGGTCAGAGGCCTGGGACCACGCAGGGGCTCCCACAGACTCTGCTGGACCAGGCCATGGGATGCTCTAGAACCAAGTGCATTGAGATCATATTTGGGGGCCGAGAGACAAGATAACGTGGATTTGGGGGAAGCGTGCTCTGTCTGGGCTCCAGTGGCCAATTCCCTCCCACCCTCTGACCTTCCCTCCCTCGGCATGTGGATAAAATGGCTTTATTTGCTGCCTTAAAACCGATAAATGGTTAACTTGTAAGAGCCTCTTGGATTGAAATGTGTGTGTCTGGTGTTCTCAGTCATGTATGAGCCAGCCGTTGGCTTGTGCGTGATGCTTTAGCATTGGAGCTCGCCAGGGAGATGCCCTAGGGTGTGGCACCACCCGGGAAGGGGTCCGGGGAAAGGGACCCTTCTAGAAGGCCAGGTGTGCTGCTCAAATCCAGCAGGAAGCAGATGTCAAGGTGGGGTGAGGTGGGCATGGGCTCTGCTGGGGTAACACCTGGAAACCATGGTCGGCAAACTGTGGCTCTTTGTCCCCTTGAGTGTGGCTCTTCCACAAACTACCATGACCTGGGCGAGTCTATGTTGAAGAAGTGGCGTTACAAGAAGTTTAAGTTTAAAACATGTGGCTCTCAAAAGAAATTTCAATTGTTATGCTGTTGATATCTGGCTCTGCTGACTAATGAGTTTGCCGACCGCCTCCTGCGAAGAATGCAGAGTAGGAGCTGGAGGAGCGGCACAGGCCTTCGGACCATGATGCTGGGCTGACCTCTGGGGCGGGAGGAGGGGGCAGGGAGAGTGTCCGATGGGAGCCCAGTTCCAAAAAAGTTTTGGCCAGGTTGTTGGGGTGTCCCTCAGCCAAAGCCACTGTCAGAGGTGTCCTGCGTCTTGTCCTCTGCATTAGTGCCTCCCCAGGCAAGGTCATTAGCGGGGAGCACCTGGGGGAAGCCTGAGCTGGGGACCTGAGCGCACGCTGTCCCGCCTGCTGTACCCATCCAGTGGGTGCCTCTGCAGGGCCGGCCTCGGGGTGCCCCTCCCAACCCTCCTCCAGACATTCACGCAACAGGTCTTCACTGAGCCCCTGCCATGTGGCCGGCCCTGTGCCAGGCCCTGGGGCTGCTCCTTGCTGCGTGGGATTCATCTAGAGCAGTGTTTCCCAAAGTGTGGTACGCGTACCCCCAGGGGTACGGGAAGAGTTTGGTGGGGGTACGCATTGCACCGGAGTTTGGTGGGGATATGCACTGCACGGTGCTTAGCTGCGCCTAATTCTACGTTCTCATGAGTACGAGGGGTACTCAGCGTTACGAAAATTATAAAAGGGGTTCACACATGTCAAAAGTTTGGGGAACACTGATCTAGAGCAGTGGCTCTCCACCAGGGGACACCGTTGGGCCCAGGGGACACTGAGCCGTGCCTGCAGACAGTCTCGGTTGTCAGGACTGGCTGGGGAAGCTACCTGCATCGAGTGGGCAGAGCCAGGGATGCTGCTGAACACCCTACTGTGCGCAGGATGGCCCCCATCCCTCCACAACAAAGGTTAGCTGGCCCCTGAAATAAATGATAGGCTATACCCTGCGATGCTGAGCAGGTGCCTCGTGTCCTTTGTTTTTGCCCGAGGGGTCCTGCTGGGACCAATTTGGATTGGACAGCGGGTGGAGGTGAAGAGGTACAGGGTGAGTAAAACGTTTCCCCAAGGATGCCTGGGAAGTCACCAGGAGAAAGATAAATTCAAGGGGTTTGCCCAACCACTCCTTATGCCCTCCTCTCTCATCCCCCGCATTTTTCGGAATCCAATTAGATAAGGGCCCCACATTTGCTTTTCACCCCGGATACCTTACCCCACTTAGCCCATTAATACCGGGCTGCTGAGTCACCCATCTGCGCACTGCTAAGGATGAATGGCGGGTAGGTGCCTGGCCAAAGCCTGGGCTCGCCGAGCCTGCAGGAAACACAGCTTCCCCACGGAAAGAGCTTTGAGGTTTAGATTCTGCAGAATCCACTCCCGCGGGCTCACCAAAGGTCACTCACCTTGGGGTCAGGAGCCTTTCCTCCCAGGATAAGTGGAACCGGCCAGGTCCCTCTTGGAAGGTGAGGGGCCAGCAAACGTGATGGCCTTCTTTGCAAAGCTGCTCTGAAGTGAGATCGAAGGGACTCAATCCATCCTCTTCATCGACTGGCAGCGTGTCCGGGAGAAAGAAGAAGCTCAGTCCCGGACTCGCATAGAGTGTTGCAGGGCTCCACTCCTACGCCACTGCAGGATCCTAAAAAGAAACCGAGGCCTAACCGGTTTGCTCAGTGGATAGAGCGTTGGCCTGTGGACTGAAAGGTCCCAAGTTCGATTCCAGTCAAGGGCATGTACCCTGGTTGCGGGCATATCCCCAGGAGGGGGTGTGCAGGAGGCAGCAGGTGGATGTTTCTCTCTCATCGATGTTTCTAACTCTCTATCCCTCTCCCTTCCTCTCTGTAAAAAAATCAATAAAATATATTAAAAAAAAATAAAGATAGAGAAACCAAGCCTGCGTGGATCTCAGTAGCGATGACCAGAGCATGACGGAGTCACCGGTTGGATTGGCTGAGGCCCAGGCTGAAATGCAGTGACAGAGAGACCTCAAAGGGAGGGAAGTTCAAACACGAAGGGGTTTCTGCCTCTGTCACTTAATTGTCCAAAGGCCGGGAGCATCGGGGCGAGTGGACTCTCCTGAGCATATTTTTCCATTTTTAAAAATTTTTAATTTTTTTAGAGAAAGTGTGAAAGAGAGAGGGAAAGACAGAAAGCAACATCGATGTATAAGAAACACACCGATTGGTTGCCTCCTGTACGAGCCCTGACCAGGGCCTAGGCTGGGGAGGAGTCTGCAGCCAAGGTGTGTGCCCTTGAACGGAATCGAACCTGGGACCCTCAGGTCCCCAGGCCGGTGCTCTATCCACTGAGCCAAACCAGCTAGGGCGGGATTGATATTTTTAAAATCTTGTTTCTCCACACGTGTATGTGCAGGCACCCGGGGCCACACGGTACACCCTGGCAAGTGTGTGCATGGAGCATGTGTATGGAGTGTCTGAGAAAGCCCCTAGCCACTGGTCTGATGATTCTCCTTGGGGGAGTCTGGAAAGGCCCTGTGTCCAGGACATGCCCAGCCCAGTCATGTCAGAGTCTCTGAAGATGGATAGAGGACCAGGATTTTTTTTTTTTTTTTTTTTTTTTTTAGCCTTTCCCACGGCTGGGGCTATTCCCGCCCACACGGTGAGTACCTCATTGGAACCTCGGCAAGCGCTTGGTAGTGACTGATGTATTCTCAGCCTTCGGGGCCGCTGCAGACATGGAGATAGGAAACAGCCTGTGTTCATACCCCATCCCGTCGGTCAGAGTGTCAGGGACGGTGAAAACCTGCCAGCAGAACAGGGCCTCCGGGAGTCCTAGGTGGCTGCAGGCGGGGACCCTGCGTGGCCCTCTTGAGGCTGTGACGTCACTGCCTGAGAGGAGACAGTGCTGTTTCCTGTGTCAGCTGTCAGGAAGGCGGAGAAGAAGACTTTTTTAAGAGCCTGTACTGGCCCAGGACTCCGAGGTCCCTTGGTGCCCAGAAGGTGAGCTGTGGACAGGGAGGGGACATGGGACTTCTGCTCACCTCAGTCTCTGACACCCTCTGCTCTGGGCACCGGCTCCTCCTCCCGCTTCACCAGAAGAGGGAGTGCGAGGCTCACGGATCCCCAAAGGGAGGTGGCTGGGTTGCCCCTTAAAAGTGCAGAGCCTGTGCTGCAGAAGAAGGAAGAGGGTCTTAGGGACAGGTGCTTTGCTGTGTTGAGGGTGGGGTGGGGGCACTGGCAGCAGTGGGAGGGCTGTGAGCCTTGTCCTCCTGTCCTCACCCCAGAGCCCCTGAAACTGGCCGAGGTGGGGACCTTGCAAGAGAGAAGCCTCTCGCTGGGCCTCAGGCTCCTGGCAATGACCTTGGCTGTGGGCCCTGCAGGGTCCTCCTGGCTGCTGTGCCCCATGGGGCCGATGCTCTCTCTTCCTGATGCTGTGGGTGGGTGGGACTCTGCAGAAAGAAAACTCCTCTCTTGCCTGCGGACTGCAGCCAACAGAATCCCTCCCGTTAGGGTCCTCTCTTTGGGTCAAGTTCTGACTCCTAGGCCTGGAAACCGATTAAACTTCACCCTTCACTCCTCAGCCGCAGCGATTTGCCAGCTCCTTGTTGAGAAGGCGAGGCCAGAGGGCCCACAGTGGGGTGACATATCACGGTAATAAATGGTGCTGATGGGAGGGGCCTGTGTATGGCCCCGTGACGACCGAGAGAGGGGCAGCTGCTTCTCAGGAAGTAGCAAGAGGGTGCTCGCAGGCCCTGGTGAGTAGGAGGAGCATCTCCGGGGCAGCTGGGTCGGGTTTAGGTGCTGGTGTGTCAGCATCTGCCACGTCCAAGACTGCCCACGTGCATGGAGTCTTCCCATGAGCATGCCTGCGTGTGTGCGCACACATGTCTAGGCAGGCACCCAGGGCCACATGTTATATCATACCTGACATATGTGTGCATGGAGAATGGGTATGGGGTATCTGAGAAAGTCTTGTCGGTCCCAGACCGTGGCTGTGTGTGTTGAGGAGCGTGTGGCAGGGAAGGCCAGAACCTTGGGAAATGGATCTCAGCATACTTACCTTCCATGACACGCAAAAGAGCAGGGTGAGGCATTGTCCGGAAGGCACAGCATGAAGACGGCGTCCACCTCTGCGAGGAGCCGACAGCAAACATCTGGGATTCGGTTCCTGGAGGCCCAGGCGACAAGGTCAAGCAAACGTATCTCCGCCCGCAGGGAAGCATGGCTACCCATTTTGAGAGCACCATGAGGCTCACTCCCAGGAGGGCCCCCACGCTTGGCCGAGCCATTCGCTTCTGCTGTGGGTGCTGTTAATTAGGTGTCAGGCAGATCCAGAGCACAGCGCTCTCGGCGCTCCTGGCAGAGTCCCTCAGCCCTGGTCCTTCTCTGTGAGCCTCCTCCATGGCCCCCCATT